TTGGATGACACCTAACAAAGCCACACCAGCCAGGGCAAAAAAGTTCTCAATTTTAATGAAGTCCAATTTATCAACTTTTTCTTTTAGGAATTAAACTTCTGGTATATGTATCTAAGAAATCTTTGCCAAGGTCACAAAGATTTTCTCCTTTGTTTTCTAGATATTTTATAGTTTTAGGTTTTCCTCTCTAAAAATCAATTTAAAAATTTGATATCCAGTTGTCCCAGTACCATTTGTTGACAGGATGATTCTTTCTCCAGGAAATTGCCTTTGCACCTTTCTCATAAATCAGTTGCTCACATATGTGTGGGCCTATTTTTGGACACGCTGTTCTGGTTCTGTTGGTCTTTAATGTATGTCTTGATGCTTATGCCACGCTGTTTTTGTTGTTGTTTTGTTTTTTAATGCCTCACTGTCTTGATTATTGTAACTTGGTAAGTAAGTGCTTATATCCGGTGGTGTGAATCCTCAGCTTTGTTCTTACTTTTCAAAGTTGTTTTGAGTATTCTAAGTCTTTTGCATTTTTGTATGAGTTTTAGAATCACTTTATCAATTTCTACAAAAAGGCCTGCTAGAATATTGATTTGGATTTCATTGACTCTGTAATGAATTTGGGTAGAATTGTTATCTTAACAGTATTGAGCTTACTGATCTATATCACTTCATATATCCCCATAGGTTTAGATATTTAAAATTTTTCTCTTAGCAATAGTCTGCAATTTTCAGTGTATAGAACTTGTACATCTGTCATTACATTTATCTTTAAGTGTTTCTTGGTCTTGATGCTATTGTTATGGTAATTTTAAATATTTAAATTTCAGAAAGAGTTTGTGTGGAATTGGTGTTATTTCTACCTTAAATATTTAGTAGAACTTTCCAGTGAAGCCATCTAGGCCTGGAGTTTTCTTTGTGTGAATTTTTTAAACTAAAAATTCAGTTTCTCTTATAGCTATAAGGTTACTCAGGTTATTGATTCTTTTTTGAGTGAGCTTTAGTATTTGTGACTTTCAAGGAATTTTTAAAATATTTTTATTTGATCCATAGGCTCTTTCAAAGTGTGTGAGTTATTGCCATATAGTTGGGGGGATTTTCCAGGTATCTTTCTGCTGTTGATTTTTTTAAGAATGTATTTTTTATTGATTCTAGAAAGAAGAAGGGAGAAGGAATAGAGAGAAACACCAGTGAGAAACATCACCTCCTGCATGTCTTTTACTAGAGATCAAACATGCAACTTGGGCATGTGTCCTGACCAGGAATCAAACCATGACTTCCTGGTTCATGGGCCAATGCTCAACCACGGAGCCACACCAGCCTGGCTGTTGTTGATTTTTAATTTTTTAATTAAATTGTGGTCAAACAATATACTCCATATGATTTCAGCCATTATAAACTTGAGATTTGTTTTATGGCCATAACATTCTCAATGTTATCTATGCATATGAAAATAGTTATGTCTTCAGCTGTTTTGGGGTGGAGAGTTCTATAATTGTTAGTTCAGATCAGTTGGTTGATAGTGTTCAGGTTGTCTGGAGGAGAGTGAAATCTCTGACTATAATTGTGAATTTGTCTATTAGCAGTTATAGCAATTTTTCATCTGTATTTTAAAGCTCTGCAATAGATTCATAAACATTTAGGATTATTATGTTCTTCATCATTATTAAATGACCTTTATTCCTGGTAATATTAAGTGCTTTGGAGTCTACTTTATGTAGCATTAATATAGCCACTCCAGCTTTCTTTTGATCAGAGTTAGCATGTTTCCATTCTTCTATTTTCACCAATTTGTATCCTTATATAAAGAGGTTTTTTAGGCAATACATAGTAGAGTCTTGTGGGGTTTTTTTGTTTTTTTTACCTATCTGCCAAATTCTGTTTGTTTGTTTCTTTGTTTGTTTTCAGGTGTTTATTTTATTTTTTCAGGTGTTTAGATCACCCCATATATTTACTGAGCAGGCAAAATTGATTAGTAGTTTTATTTTTTGTACCATCCATTGTTAATTTCTTTTTCCCTTTCTGCCTTCTTTTCAATTGACTATTTTTATTTCATTTTGTTGTCTTCATTGGCTTACTTGCTATAACTCTTATGTTAGTTTAGTGATATTTTTCTTTAACTTATGATAGTTTACCTTCACATGACAGACCACTTTACCTGTGGTATATAAAAGCGTTAAAACAGTATGCTTCCCTTCTTCTTTCCAGCTTTTGTGCTATTGTCACAGTTTTACTGTTACGTGTTATAAACCCTACAATGTAGTATATATGTTTTTGCTTTAAATGATTCTAGATTGACAGCTGTTTCTTTTTTTCAGAATTTAAAAATGTTTCTCCACTGTCTTCCAGCTTGTATTGTTTATAAATGAGAAATCTGTTGTCTTTATCGGTTTTTCTGTGTGTGATGTCTTTTTCCTCTGGCTGCTTTTAAGATTTTCTCTATTGCTGGTTTTAAACACTTTGATTATGATTACTTTGGAGTAATTTTCTTTATGTGTCTTGTGTTTGGGTTCATTGAGCTTATGGAACTGCAGGTTTATAATTTCCATCAAAGGGTAAGTTGTTCTGCAGTTGTTTCTTTTTTTTTTAATTTATTGATTTTTTTACAGAGGAAGGGAGAGATATAGAGAGCTAGAAACGTCAATGAGAGAGAAACATCGGCCAGCTGCCTCTTGCACACCCGCTACTGGGGATGTCCCCGCAACTCAGGTACATGCCCTTGACCAGAATCGAACCTGGGACCTTTCAGTCCGCAGACCGATGCTCTACCACTGAGCCAAACTGGTTTCGGCTGCCATTGTTTCTTAAGATATTTTGTCTGATTCCTCCCTCCAAGTACAGGTATGTTAGTGTGCAGTTGTCCCACAGCTCACAGTTCCAAAAAAATTTTATTTAAAAAAAGAACAACGGTGGGAAGGGCAGGAGTTGGCCCATGAGCTGTAATATTTGCCGACCCCTGCCTCAGTTCAAGACCTTACTTGGCTGAGCTATTTAATATTTTTGTCTGGCCTTCTATTTTTTAAAAAAAATATATTTTATTGATTTTGTACAGAGAGGAAGGGAGAGAGATAGAGAGCTAGAAACATCGATGAGAGAGAGTCATCGAACAGCCGCCTCCTGCACACCCCCCACTAGGGATATGCCTGCAACCAAGGTACATGCCTTTGACCGGAATCGAACCTGGGTCCCTTCAGTCCCCAAGCCGATGCTCTATCCATTGAGCCAAACCGGTCTCGGCTGGCCTATTTTTTTTAAAATATATTTTATTGATTTTGTACAGAGAGGAAGGGAGAGAGATAGAGAGCTAGAAACATCGATGAGAGAGTGAGTCATCGACCAGCTGCCTCCTGCACACCCCCCACTAGGGATATGCCCGCAACCAAGGTACATGCCCTTGACCGGAATCGAACCCGGGACCTTTCAGTCCCCAAGCCGACGCTCTATCCATTGAGCCAAACCGGTCTCGACTGGCCTTCTATTTTAATTGTTTCTAGAAATAATTGCTAGTGATATCTGCTTAAAATATGGATCTTACCATATTACTTGTTGGTCCCCTACAACATAACAAATAAAGGTCACAATTATCTTACCCTGAAAGCTACCACAGTCTGATTCTCCTTACATTTCCAATCTTATCTCCAGCGATTCTGCATTTGTCAGCTCACACAGTCTAATGGCATGTTTTCCTGCCTTGTGATATTTCCTTAAGCCCTGCTTTTCTGGATCATTCGTCCCTTCCTGTTATGTTATGTACCTCTGAAACCATTGATCTATCTTGGGAATGCTATTTACATCCCACCTTCTTTAAGAAGCATTCCTGAGCCCCCCAGATGGAGGCAGTTTCTCCTTCATGTTGTTTCAGCATATTGTTAGAGAGCTTCTGTGGTGGTGACCTCCATTTATGCTTTGTCAGAAACTCAAGTGTGCCTGTTTATCCATATACTAGAGGTCCAGTGCACAAAATTTGTGCACTTGGTGGTGGGGCGAGGGGGTGTCCCTCAGCCCTGCCTGCAACCTCTTGCAGTCTAAGAGCCCTCAGGGGATGTCCAACTGCAGGAAGCGGACCTAAGCCGTCCATCAGACAGCCTTAGTGCTGCTGTGGAGGCAGGAGAGACTCCAGCTACCACTGCTGTGCTCCCCAGCCATGAGCCCAGTTTCTGGTTGAGTGGCACTACCCCTGTGGGAGCATACTGACCACCTGGGGGAAGCTCCTGCATTGAGCATCATAGCAACTGGTCATTCCACCGACAGGCCGAAACTGGCTCCCGACATCCTCCAAGGGGTCATGGATTGTGAGAGGGTGCAGGCCAGGCTGAGAGATCCCACCAGTACACAGTGGGGCCAGGGAAGGACATGGGAGATTGGCCAGCTGGGGAGGGACCACGAGAGGGCTCCAGGGCGTGTCCAGCCTGTCTCACTCAGTCCTGATCGGCTGGACCCCAGCAGCAAGCTAACCTACTGGTAAGAGCTTCTGTTCCCTGGTAGTCAGTGCACATCATAGCAGCTGGTCAGCTGTCTTCTGGTGGTCAGTGCATGTCATAGCAAGTGGTTGAGTGGCCTTAGCATATCATTAGCATATTACACTTTGGTTGAATGGCCAACCAGACGACTGGACACTTAGCATATTAGGGTTTTATTATATAGGGTGTTTATCGAGTGTATGTGTGTTTTTTTTCAGGAGGTGAGAGGTGTACCCTCTTGTTTCTGTCCCCTCTGCAGTGCACTGCATAGCCTGATACATAACAGAAATGCCACAGTGTATATTTGAATGGTTGCACATAAAGGTCAACATTCAGGTGGAGGAGGGGTGGTAGGCTGCTCTGGATATTTGTGATGTTTTGGGCACAGCTCTTGGCTCTTCTTTGGGGTGTGCATGCAAGCCTCCAAGGAGGTGGGCTATAGGCGGGCTGCTTGGCCTATGCACATGGGGACCCGGTGGTGGCAGGGCCACTCCAGGTCTCGCTGCTATTGCCACTTCCTCAATGGCCTCTTGCCCTTTGGTTTCACAGAGCTGCGGTGCAACCCTGGGCAGTTTGCCTGTCGCAGTGGCACCATCCAGTGCATCCCCCTCCCCTGGCAGTGTGACGGCTGGGTGACTTGTGAGGATGAGAGCGACGAAGCCAACTGTCCAGGTGAGTGTTGGGCAGGCAGATGCACGTGGCCCATGCTTCCCATCAGAGGAGATGGTGTCGACTGGTACCCAATGCTGTATCCATGTGCTGGAAGGTTATTTTGAGCTCCTCCTGTTTTCTCCCTCCCTCCTTCCCTTCCTTCCTCCTTCCCCCCCCCCCCCCCCCCTAAATAGATGCCTAACACAGGTAGAGTAGATCTCAGAGGATTTAAGATGGCAGGGTGAGCATTGTGAGGTATCCATGATGCCACATTTTGGGAGGTGCTGCTGGACTTGAGACCAGCACCTGAGTATGGTGGCTTCTTCCCCTCCCTCTTGCCTGGGTTTGGAAGTAGGTGTCTGTGAGACCTGGCTAGAATCCTGACAAGGGTCACTTAGACTGGCCTTGGCTCTGCCTATCTGTCCTGCTCACTCAGTCACTAGCAATCTTTCTCCTGATGATGTGAGTGCTCACAGACACAGAATGCCACCAAGAGTCTAAATTGTTGGTTCTCCACCTGGTTTTTGTTCCAGGACTCTCAAAGATATAACACCCCATGAGTAATGGTGTTCACCACACCCCGGGTTCTCAGCTGAGTTAGGATGGACAGTGTAGTGTCTTGCGTGTATTTCTGCATGAGTATGTGAGAGAGACACACACATACACATGGTAATATGTTTAAGATCTGGGTGGTTCTTATAAAAGCCCTAAGAGAAAGGAATCTCAGACCTAAACTCTCGGCCTCACACTCAAATTTCTTCACAACCTGGCTTGTTTTTGTGCCAATCGTTATTTTCTTTCCTATGACTCAGCTAGGCTGCTTCCTATGCCCAACCCGTTAAGAATTTTCTAGCCTGGCCAGTGTGACTCAGTGGTTGACTATCAACCTATGAACCAGAAGGTCACGGTTCAATTCCCAGTCAGGTAATATGCCCAGGTTGCAGGCTCCATCCTCAGTATAGGATATGCAGGAGGCAGTCGGTCAACGTTTCTCTCTCATCCTAGATGTTTTTATCTCTCCCTCTCTCTTCTCTGAAATCAATTTTTTTTAATTAAAAAAAAAAAAAGAATTTCTTAGCCACATGCTTCATTTATGCCTTTCTTTTTTCCTCTCGGGATCCTCTTGGTTTGTTGCACTGTGGACAGATCCTTCCTATCCTTCAAGGCTTGGCTAGACGATACCACAACAAGAAGGCATCTGTGGGCTCCATGGCTATAGGTTGGCTTCTGCTAATACCTGCTCTGTCCCTCTTTGGCAGCACATAGAACCGCTGGTAATTCTTACATCACGTGTGCCCATGCTTGATCTCTCCTTCCAGACTGAGTTCCCTGAGGGCAGGAGACCTGTCTTCTTCCTCAGTGGGACAGGTCCTTTTCAGCAGTCAGTAAATGAAAGGAGTCTTGTCATTCTATAGGCCAGGGGTTGAAAAAAACTCCAACTAGGGCATCAGGAGGGACCTCAGCTAGAATTTGACATTTGAGCTTGAGACAGTTCATTGAGGTATGGTTCCAAAATAAGAAATAAAGGTGGTCTATTTGGACTTTATTTGTTTAAAATGACCCCTGTAAAGGGACCCATTTTAAAAAATAATTCTTTTAAAAAATATATACTTTTTTTTATTATTGATTTCAGAGAGGAAGGGGAGAGAGAAACACAATGAGGAGAGAGAATCATGGATCAGTTGCCTCCTGCATGCCCCCTCTTGGGGATTGAACCCACATTCCAGCCATGTGCCCTTGACAGGAATCGAACCTAGGACCCTTCAGTCCAGAAGTCGATGCTCTATCCACTAAGCCAAACTGGCGAGGGTGATACTCATTTTTACATCATCCCTTAGCCTGTTCTTCCTTCATTAGGTGAGCATGTCTGTGGTTGAGGTGCCTACCTTTCCAAATGAGTGTTTGAATGGTGGTGGCTGGTTTAGGAGCCTCTGGGATAGCTCTCTGTTGGGGAAGACCACCTGGTCATTCCTTGGGTCACAGCCCAGATAGTGTGAACTTCCCAGTGTTTGAGAATTTCCTATATGCCGAGTCAGCCTGCTGAGGACTGGTGATCGTGCCTGGGAGCTCCTCCTGGAGTGACTTACAGGGTGAGGCTTCACATCTAGCCGCCTAGAGAGTTTTCTGAACAAAGAACCAAATGATTCTTGGCTTGCTTTAAAATGGGAGCATGGCGGAAACTGGTTTGGCTCAGTGGATAGAGCATCGGCCTGTGGACTGAAAGCTCCTGGGTTCGCTTCCGGTTGCAGGCACATCCCCAACAGAGGGTATGCAGGAGGCAGCTGATCAATGGTTCTCTCTCATCGATGTTTCTAACTATCCATCTCCCTCTCTGTAAAAATATATATATATTTAAAAAATAAAATAAAATGGGAACATGGTTTATCTGCTGTTTTCAAAGCACCTTTTGGTTTAGCTTTGAACGTTATGTGTAATAACTGCCCTGTTATAGATATTGAAAACAATGATAGGCACTCTTATGGTTCAGCTTCATCTATCAGTGCTCTGTGGACTTGCTGTAGGCAGGAACTAGATCTAATTTCTCTTTTGGGTTACTTGATTGGCACAGAGGGTTGCAAGGCCACTCAGTATAAGTGTTGACTTGAAGCTACATAGGTTCCTGTATTTTCTCCCCAGATAGAAAGATAAAGTCTATCCTACAGAGCCCAGAGTTCTGAGTTTGACATGCTTGTTCTAGGCTCAGACCATTGAGTGGGTGATGACACGTGTGCATGCGCAAACTCACCAAGGACTAACCAGTGGACCACTCCAGCCAGAGCTTAATCAGTTTGCTTTTGAACATAGACTTCAGGACTCTGGAGTGACCACACGAGATTATTTCATTGCCCTGTAAAATCCTGCTAAAATTGCAATAAGATATAAGGCCATAAGGGCAGAGAAAATACAAGATGTAGCAATAAACCATAATTTCACGGTGGTTTTGTCAGATACAAAATGGGTAGTATGGTAGATATAGGCTGGGCATACAGTATGCTAGATATGGGCTGCCTTTGGGATTGGAACGCTGAGACCCCCTGCCAGTAGGCTTTTGGGTATCATTTGCCCATGAGGTCCTTCCCATGGAATTTGGAAAGTGGAAGAGAGGTAGAAGAATCCTTCTTCCTCTGGCCCTGTGTGGATGTGGGAGACTGAGGTGAGTGAGTGCAGCGGCTTCCACATCCCTCACGGCCGGCCCTCTGAAGGCCGCAGGGCAGCTGTGGTCTGGCAGCGCTTTCCTGCTGTTTCCTCACCGGTGGATGGCAGCAGCTTCCTGACTCTGGATGCAGCTAGTGTCACATAGACAGTTAGAGGTGGCCCACTTGACGCAAACCTTTTCAGTTCTTTCCAAAGCACTGCTTCCCTGTCTTAAACCCCTTTGTGTTTGAAATAGCTGGCATGGTTCCTGTTCTCCTAACTGAACCATTTTTGATCTAAATGGGAACTAACAGAAGATGTATAAACTTTTTAATGGAGAAAAATTTACACTTTATTAAGAGTCATTAGAGAAGACTTTTGAGGCAAGATGTTCTTGGCTAGGAAGACTTAATGTGGTAAAGTTGCCTATTCTTCTTATATTGATCTGTGGACTCAGTGCATCTCTAAAGGTTTTTTGGGAAATGTGGCAAACCAGTTCTAAAAGGTTTGGAAGAATGATGTCTGATATTGTTAGGGCACTTTGAAGAAGAGTAAGGACCAGTGTCAAGGCTTACTTTACAGTTGGCTCAGGGTAGCATGAATTGGCCAGTAGAACAGAAGAGCTGCCAGAAACATGATATATGCCGGAGGTGGAATTACATATCACTGGGCAAAGGTTAGAGTCTTAGTATGTAGTGCTGTGACAGTCGGAAAAGAAGGAAATTGGATCCCTAATGTACAACATGCAGGAAAATTGGTTTCACGTTAAAGAAAAACTTCTAGAAGATAACAGAGAACACCTAAGATCTTCCCTTTATCACAGGTAGCAATAAAGAATGTGAACAGGGCCTTGGGGACTTACAGGTTCACCCAACAACAGCAGAATCACATTTTAGGTCTCTTATGTTAGAAATCCCGGTTTGGTAAGTTAACTGTTATTTGACGCACTAAGTAACGTCTGATTTTATTTTTTTTACCATGATTTTAAACCTGTTTTGGTATAAAGTAGGAAAGTGATGTGTGTGCTGAAGAGGCTCCAGTCAGTCTTGTCCTCTCCATTTAGAGTTATAAGCTCATTTGGACCTAATATATTTGTTCAAGTTCTAGAAACACAAATAAGAATCACTCATATTTGTATTTTATCTATAATAATAAAAGCGTTATATGCTAATTAGACCAGACGACCTTTCAGATGAAGCCGGAGCTGGGAGGGAAGCCCGGGTCCCGGGTACCTACCAGAAGGAAGCCAGTGCTGGCAGCTGGGGGAAGGAAGGCCTACTCTTGCACAAATTTTGTTCATCAGGCCTCTAGTTTACATATAATACTGATTTCTGGCCAGTACCTGCCCTGACTCAGTTTCCCTGTTGGACTCGAAGCTCTCTAGCGACCTCCCAGCTTTCCCTAGAGACCGTGCTGGGGGAGCAGAAAGCCTGGTGCCAGTGGCTCTGAAAGCCTGGAGAGGAGGCAGCTGCCCAGGGGGTCAGGTGGAGACAGGCTTCAGGTGGCCAGGTTGTGAGACAGGGTGACTCAGATCCTGTGAACTTGGAGGAGGGCCCACCTCCCCTGTGTTCCACTTCAGCTCTGAAGCAAGTCTCATAACACTACCGAACCTGCTTCCCCATCTGTAAACATTTCCCTTTTCCTTGTGGGTTTTTTCTCCAATAGCAAGTCAGCCACGTTGGCTTCTCCTTGTTTCACATCTCCTTCTGGGGGTTCCCATTCAGTCTTTGGTGGGCGGAGCTGCTCTGGAGTCCTGGTGAGGACATCGGAGGAGAGAAGAGCACAGGTGACAGCCTGATGGACAGGGGGCACTCTTTCCAGGACTGCAGGCCTGTGCTTGGGCCCCGTCACAGTCGCAGTCCCAGCCAGTTGTGGATGGAAAGGAAGAGGAAGGCTGAGGAGGTCTGTCTTATCACAGGATCATTCCCCCTACAGTATTCCCCATGCTTCAGACAGCACCTGGCACACTAAGGTAGAGAGAGGACAGAGGGGTGTCTGCATAGCTGCACATGAATCTGCTCAGCTGTGAGAGCTGCACACCCTCCAGCTGGCCCTAATAGGGAAACATTGGGTCTCAGAAGCAAATTCTTTATTGTCAGAGGGGGGCCTGATAGGTTTGTAAGGATGCTGATCCTGTGCTCTGCATCCTCCCCCACTGCCCTCACCTCCTTAGCCAAGCCCTTCCCCTTTTTGCTGGCAAAGGCCTATGTCCATGCTGTAGGTTTCCTTGGCAGCATGTGATGGGCCTGAATAAATGAGTGAGGAGGGAATGGATGTGGGCATTTGGACAGTAAGAGAAATGATAGAAAAGAGAAGGGCTCAAAATTGCCTCCTGAACTTTGGAGAAGCCTGCTCTGCACAAAGTAGCTTCTTCCATCACCACCAGACTTTCTTTTTTCTTTTTTTTTTTTAATATATTTTATTGATTTTTTATTTTATTTTATTGATTTTTTACAGGGAAGAAGAGAGAGAGATAGAGAGCTAGAAACGTCGATGAGAGAGAAACATCGACCAGCTGCCTCTTGCACACCCCCCACCGGGGATGTGCCCACAACCAACGTATATGCCCCTGACCGGAATCGAACCTGGGACCTTCAGTCCACAGACCAACTCTCTGCCACTGAGCCAAACCAGTTTCGGCCAGACTTTCTTTCCTTACTTATTTCACTATTGCCCCTTCACCCTATGCTGCAGATGGCCTCTCTTCTGCAAAGTCAGCACCCAGGCCACCTGGTGATAACCCAGCAGAACACCGTTACCCTTTCTTCCTCTTCCCCTTCTGTCCTAGATCAGTGTGCTGCAAGAATTTCAAAGCATGCAATATTTCAGGGGCACTGACCTCTTTACCCTTATATTGTCAAATTTTAAAAATGACAGTAATCAACACAAGAGCTGTCCGGTGTGAATGAATCAAAATTATATCTTTTTTGTCAGGTGGGGGGGAAATATATATATATATATATATATATATATATATATATATATATATATTGTTATGCCACAGAGTTTTAATAATTCGTTTCTGTGTGGCATGAGGTGAAAAGGATTGAAAGTCTCTGTCGTGGATCCATCTGTCTGTGAGCATTGTGGCCTGTCATAGACCAGATGCTGTTCTTGGTCTGGGGAAGAGGCCAAGATGTAAAGTGGAATCACAGGCCTTGCTCGTTTGAGCAGACAGAAGAGAGATGTGAAGTTTAGGTGTGGCTTCTCCCACACCCAAGCTTGTCCTGAGGCCTGTCCCAGACATGCCTGCCTTTGCCCAAGCTGTGCCCTCTGCTGGGAAGCCCTTCGGTTTGTTCCCTTCCCTCATCTCCCGATCCTAAATCCACCCTCCCTCAGGAGACACTGTGGATCTTCCCCTTAGTGTGCCAGGCACTGCCTGGAGAAGGGAGGAGGAGGCCTTTGTAGCCCTGTCCCTATGCCAGAACTGCCAGTCTTCTCCCAGGAGCAGAGGCGCTCAGGGTGTGTGCATGGAGCACTTCCGGCCTAGAGAGATGGTGCCAGGGGCCCACAGGGCTGGGTGTTGGAAGAGAGCAGCTGCAGCCTCAGGCCACCTTCCACAGAGTCAGCAGCAAACGAGGTGGTTGTGTTGGTGTTGAGATCACCCCTTGAACATGCTTTTCCTTTGAGGTCTTTGCTTTATCTCAGACACTAGTAGCACATTTTATATTTTAGAATGATTGGCAATGAAAGGACACCTGAACCCCATTATATGCCTGAGAAGGAGCTGGAAATACTCTTCTCAATGCTTTGTGGGGGAGAGCCAAATCGGGTAGGGCTCATAACTTCTCAGGGTCTTCGAAGAAAATAATGAGGCACAAACAGATTTATGTACAAGTCATTCAGTGCAACCCCTCTTAGAGTATTGGAAGAATGCAAACAACCTAAATTTTGTACCATAGGAGATGGTGGTAATTAAAGAAATTCATTCACAGAATACCATGCAGCCATTAAAAATGGTCTTCTGAAGTTTATTTCAGAATATGGGAAGCTGTTTATAGTCTTAAACTTATAAAGCAAATTCTAAAATAGTTTTAAGGATTTATGTAGAAAAAAAGAGACTGAAGGGTGGGCTCTAACATAGTAATGGGTTAATATGCTTTGTCTTTCCAAACATTTTTCAAATATTTTGCATTGAATATTTATTTTATGAGAAAAAATAGATTATTTACAAAATAAAAATATCAGAGTCTGTAATAATAGCAGAACCAGATGGCTAGCGACACTTTAGTCAATGGGCTAATTGCCAGCCAGTCTGGGAAGGTGGGTTTGTGGGACACCACCTCGCCTTCCAACCACTTGCCTAGACCCACCAGGTTCCTTCACCCCCCATGTCATTCCACGCCTCTTGCCAAAGGTTACACACGGTGATTCCCCCTTCCTGCTCCCAGGGGAGGCTCCCAGCAGTCTGGGGGCAGGAAGGCAGCCTGTGTGTGCTCTGGAAGAAACCCCAAGGGGCTAGAGCAAGCATGGTTAAGTGAGGCATGTGGCCCTCTGGCCGCGAGTTTGACATGCTTGGGCTAGAGCTACTGAAGGATTTGCACTGGGAATGGCTGACTGTGCTGTGCCAGCAGTAGCCTGTTAGAAAATGCAATGAAGGGGAAACATTTCACGATAGTAGTAGAAAAATGAAGACTGCTAAGGGATAATTTTAATAAGATGTGTATATAACCCATTTGATACAAACAGCAGCCTTTTACAGCGTTCTTAAGAAGACCTGGATAGCGCTGGCCGGTTCGGCTCAGTGAAGAGTGTGGGCCTGCCGACTGAGGGATCCCAGGCTCAATATAAACCAAGGGCACATTCCCGGGTGGTGAGCTTGATCCCCCTCAGTAGGGGGCATGCAGGAGGCAGCCAATCCATGATTCTCTGATCATTGATGTTTCTCTCTATATATCTCTCTCCCTTCCTCTCTGAAATTAATTTTTTTTAAATACATTTTTATTGATTTTGTACAGAGAAGAAGGGAGAGAGATAGAGAGTTAGAAACATCGATGAGAGAGAGTTATCGATCAGCTGCCTCTTGCACACCCCCTACTGGGAATATGCCTGCAACCAAGGTACATGCCCTTGACCGGAATCGAACCCGGGACCTTTCAATCCCCAAGCCGACGCTCTATCCATTGAGCCAAACCAGTTTCGGCTGAAATTAATTTTTTTTAATAATGGGTCTTTTGTTAAGAATATTAAAAAACAAAACAAACCATGAATAAATGGAGAGGGATAGAAAGCCAGAAACATTGATGAGAGAGAAGCATCAATCAGCTGCCTCCTGTACACCCTCCACTGGGGATGTGCCCCAGCCAAGGCACATGCCCCTGACTGTAATCGAACCTGGGACCTCTCAGTCCGCAGGCCGACGCTCTATCCACTGAGACAAGCTGGTTCTGGCAAAACCCTGAATAAATGGAATATATGCTCACACACTTCTGGTCTCCCAGCCTCAAGTAGTCTGCCCACTCTGCTGGGAGAACAGTGCTTACAGTCCACTTTTCTTTTTGCTTCCAGAAGTGACGGGGGATTCTCGACCTTACCATGGGAAGGAAGCTGTGGATCCGAGGCAGGGGCGGGCCCGAGGTGGCGACCCCACGCATTTCCACGCAGTGAATGTGGCACAGCCTGTTCGCTTCAGCAGTAAGTTGCAGACCTGCCCTGTTTGTGATAAAGCCTCATAACTCTGGATGTTCCCTGGCTCTCCCGGTATCATTTGGCTGTGTGAAGGGTACAGTGTGTCTTTTAAAACAGCCCTTCAGGGCAGTTGGGCATAATCCTTCTTTGGTGAGAGGCTGCACAGTGACCCAGCCAAGGCCATCCAGGTTGAGAGTGGTGAATCCTTGACACCAACTCAGGCTATGGAACCAGTTGCTTACAAGATGGCTGCCTTTCAGAGCTGGGCTGCAGAAGTCTTCTCACCACACAGACACTCAGGTCCCCTCGGCTTTGAGCTCTGAACTCCAGGGATTGTCACAGGGATACAGTGCAGGAAACAGCCTCTGAGAGCTCACACAGCCAGTGGGGCAGCCCCTGGAATTGTGGCTCTCAGCTCCATGCACTGTCTTCATCTCTGCCTCCTTTCTTTGAATCGGTAATCTTCCTAGGGAATAATTCCACAAAGCTCAACAGGTACAAAAAGATGTTCCCTCTCTCTGTTGCCCCCACTCACTGGCTTCTGTCCCCAGAGGGCTTCCTCGTACCATTTGGTATGGAGCCTTGCCACCCTCAGGGTGGGTCCATCTGGCAAGAAGATATCTGGCCCATCTCGTCTAGCAGAAACTCTGATGACTTCAACTGGCTACTTGGCTTTTGCCCACCGTGGAACCACCTGGGCCTCATTTTCTCCTCTGCAGAAGGCAGGAGTAGCTCCCACAACCTCAGTGGCCTTTCCAGCTATGATCTCCTGAGCTTCTATTCTAAGGGAATACTAGCCAGCACCTATGTGAACAGAGAACCAAGGAGTAGGCCCAAGAAGTTGTGGACTTGCTGGCAGGGTGAACAGAAAGCCAGCATTTGGGCAGTGAGGGCCAAGTGGGCAGGGAACCTCCTTGCTCACTCCTACCAGGCCTTGCAGTGAGCTAGTGTGGGCAGTTCTGCCATCTTGTCAACCAGACTTATCCAGAGAATGAAATCTGTTTATCCAAAGAATCCAACAATCAGTCTTTACTGCCAAGTAAATTAAAGACCTTATACAAATGGGAAGACTCACCACTGAATATACTTGTCCTTTAGATTGCATCTATATTGTAGAGAAACTTGAGTATGCGGTCCTTAGGAGACAGAAATTTTCCTTTTGAGCTTTGGTTTCCCCATTTCTCTAGAGTGATTTCTGAGCAACATATGTAATTTTGTTTTGGAGTGCGGATCCTAATTTGGGGGGACAACTCCCCTTCCGTCCTTCATGTTTCCTAGGGAAGTGTCCGACAGGGTGGCACCACTATGAGGGCACGGCCAGCTGCTACAAGGTCTACCTGAGTGGAGAGAACTACTGGGACGCCGCACAGACCTGCCAGCGCGTCAATGGCTCCCTTGCCACCTTCTCCACCGACCAGGAGCTGCGTTTCGTCCTGGCCCAAGAATGGGACCAGCCAGAGCGGAGTTTCGCTTGGCAGGACCAGCACAAGTGAGTCCTGGTGGGAACCCAGGGCTGGGGTTCAGGCCAGTGCCCACCAAGCACATGGCCTTTTGGGGAAGAGCAGCTCCACCCACTGGAAATATTCAGCGGTTTAGAGTGGGCATTGAGATCGGGTGGGGGTCTTGGAAGGACAGAGATGGGGTGCCACCTTGGGTCAGTCTCTTGTTGATCGTCTGTAGGTTCATCTGCATGTGCTGACCTGTAAAGGGATCTGGCCTGTGTCAGGAGGGGCTGCTCAGTGTGGGCTTTTCTAGGCCCAGCACAAGGGGTGCACGGGTGGCTGGTAGTTCGTTCCAAGAAAATGGGCTTTGTCAGGCCCGCTGCTCAGTGATTTCAATGGGCTCGATCATTCAGTCCCTGAAACCACAGGAGACCAGTGGGCAAGAAGACTGAGGCCCAGCGGACAAGCATGTGGGCACAGGCACAACTGGCTGGGTGTGTCTGGGTTCCAACCCCTGCAGGCTAACTCCTGGACCTGGCTCTTGACCCCAGGCTCTCTAGCAATGAGGAGAAAGTGTGGATACTGGCCAACTGCCAGCATCTCCCAGGCCCTGGGTTGTGGGGCCAGGCATGTGCTATGGCCTGTGGTGTGTCCTCATGCTGCCCCATCCACACTGCTGGGGCAGGAGTGCAAATTGCAAAGTTGGCCAGACTGCCAGTACTCCCTCCCAGCAATGCACAGGCTGCCGTATTAGCAAGAGGACCATGTCAAGTGGACAGAGAGCCTGCATTTTAAGACCTGAGCTGGGTTTTGGGCTCTACCATCATATCCCATGACATTGGCAAATCATGATACCGCAGCTACCAAATGAGAAAAATAATTCCTACTTCACAGGGTGGTTGTAAGTTCATGGAAGAGCGAGAGGGCTCAGCCCCGTAGGTAGGGAAACACCCTGTCTCCTTCACGTGGGCGTGTGCATGGCAATAGGCTGAAGGGGCAGAGTGGCACAATGCCATGGCTCCCCCGATGGTAGTGGACTTCCTGAAGGCACCTCCAGGCTGGGCTGAAAGGCTTGGACGAGGGGCAAACACTCGACAGGTGGCTGTGGCAATCGACCAGGCTCGTGTGCACTGCCCCCACAGTGCTGCGACTTGTGCTCTGGGGAGCGGTTGCAGGCCTGGGCGAGCCGGCTCTGAGCGTGAGCATGCTTTTACCCACCCCTGCAGTGTATACTTACAGGTGTTTGGTTTTTATTGAGATTAATTCACATGCCATAAAACTCACTCCTTTAGAAGTACTGTTCTGTGCCTTTAGTACAGCGGTCGCCAACCAGTGGACCACTGGTGGTCCATGAGATCTGAAAGGTTGGTGACTGCTGCTTTAATGTGTCCACAGGGCTCTATGTCCATCGCAGATAAGGTTGGTCTTGCTTAGAATTTGAAAGCTGTTTTGTGTTTTTGTTTTAAGTATGTTTTTTATTGATTTCAGAGAGGAAGGGAGAGGGAGAGAGAGATAGGATCATCAGTGATGAGAGAGTATCATTGATTGGCTGCCCCCTGCACCTCCCCAACACTGGGTCATGACCCTGACCAAGAATCAAACTGTGACCACTGGTTTATAAGTCGACACTCAACCACTGAGGCACACCGGCCAGGCTGAAAGCTTTCCTGGAACAACTAATAAGACAGTCTTGGCAGGAGTCACTCAAGATAAAACTTTTTCTGACCTGTGAATTTATTCTTTAGAATTTTTATGTATTTTATTAAAAGTAAGTATTTTAAGCCGAAACCGGTTTGGCTCAGTGGTAGAGCGTTGGTCTGCGGACTGAAAGGTCCCAGGTTTGATTCCGGTCAAGGACATGTACCTTGGTTGCGGGCACATCCCCGGTAGGGGGTGTGCAAGAGGCAACTGGTCGATGTTTCTCTCTCATTGACGTTTCTAGCTCTCTATCTCTCTCCCTTCCTCTCTGTAAAAAATCAATAAAATATATTTTAAAAATAAATAAATACATAAAAGTAAGTATTTTAAAACTTTAAAAAGTCATTAGCATTTTGGAGGCTCAGTACTTTAATGGCAGTGTAACTATTAAAATACACTCATGCACAATCAGTGGCCACTCTCCTGCTGCCATGCTAAGGTTCCTTGCATTTCTGCCCTCTCCCAGGTTGTGGGTTGGCTACCAGTATGTCGTCACCAACCGGAACAGCTCCTTAGAAGGCCACTGGGAGGTGTCATTCAAAGGTAAGCCTTTCTGGGCCCTGACTGGTTAGTTCAGTTGGTTAGTGTTGTCCCGAAATGCCAAGGTTGCAGGTTTGGTCCTCAATCAAAACGTAAGTATCAACCAGTGAATTCATAAATAAGTAGAACAATTTGATGTTTCTCTTCCTCTCTATAAATTTAAAGAAAAAGAAAAAAGCGTAAACCTCTTCTGAAAAGAGTTGTTGAATATGAAATTGATGTTTACCATCCTGAACAGGATATATTGCTAGGGTCTCCTCTCTTTCCCCCACCCTCTCATCAATGGGGCCTGGCCCGTTAGGGGTACCTGATGCAGGGGCCGTGGGCAGGAATGGGCCCACATCACGGGAGGGCTCTGATGACCAGCAGGCCCCCTTCCAGGCTGGGGTCTTTTCTGGAACACATGGTTGCTTCTTACTTGGCCAGATTTTTAGACTCACTATCCTCCTTTTACTGTTAAGGACTTTAGGGCATAAAAATGAGCATACAAAGTATGCAGCTGGCATGAGCCAGGGAGGGAAGTTCAAGCTTTCTAGGACAGAGACGTTCGGAAATCCAAAACTTGAAGGAAAACGGTCAGGCAGATAGAGTTAAAATAGAGGAGTTTGCTGGAGTGAGAGACATTCGGATCTTCTCTGACTCCTCTCATACTTTACTTTCTTTCAAACGTGTCCAAAATCTCATCACTTGTTGCCAGATTGCAGCCGCCAAATCTGCCATTAGTCACCTAAATTACTGCAGCCACCGCTGCCAGCCTGGTCTTCTTGCTCCCATTCCCACCCAGCCCAGCCTCCTCGCATGGCTGCGCGAGAGTCCTCTACTCCTCTGCCAGCTGTTTGTGCCTCTCCTCCCGAAAAGCCACTGTCCTCACTGAGACGTGCAGCGCCCTTCCACCCCGCTCCCGGCCCTCTTCAGCCACAGGATGCCTGCTCTTCTCGCCTTCTCTTCCCTTGGGTCACCTTTGTTCCCATTGAACCCTCCCTGGGCCACTGCTTCCTGGCTCAGGCTTATTCCAGTGCAGTGCTGGAGAAGCAGTGGAGCCAGGCTGGCCCTGGCTAGTGTCTGGGTCTGACTTGGGGATTAAGTGGAGCCTGCTGTGCCAGGCTGCCTGGACGGCTCAAACGGATTACAGTGGACACCTGCTTCCCTTGGCAAGTCTGGAATTGGGGTGGACCGGAGGTCGGCACCCAGGCTGTTGTTGGCAAAAATGTATTGCAAGGGCTGCTGGCAGCGGCGCACTTCATGGCACCTTCCTGCCTGGAGGATGAGGAAGCCTGGCCTGGATTTTTCCAGACTCCACCTGAACTCCCTTTTGTTGTTGCTGGTGTATCTTGCTGCATCGCTATAGTAATTCTTAGCCATGACTGTGGCTGGATGCAGGGTCCCTTGAATCCCAGCAAAACAGTGAGCCTGTGAGTGACGTGAGACCCACCAAACCCAAGCAGTCAGGAATGTGGTGCAGCCTCGTCCCCATTCTCTGTTCTGAGGCTGGCCTTCACCTCTGCGCTGCAGCTGTTTTTGCTATAGCAGCCATGACCTTCCGACATGTATACTTACTCTGTGTTCAGAATCTATCTTCACTCCCCGCCCCCTTCAGATGTCAGCTCCACAAGGCAAGTTGTCCTTGTACAGTGTCCCCTGAGGGCCTGTTTATAGGATTAGGGCTTGCCAATATTTGTTATATCTGAGGGAGAATGATCAGGAGACTGTACTAGATTATGGGACTTAGGAAAGAGGCTTGGAGGTTCATGGCCCCCTCCCCCAACATCCCTGTTCCCCCATCCTGGAGTTCAATGGTAGCGTGGTTTCTGATCACCTGATTTCCAACTTGGAATGCAATAGTCGAGTGTATTACAGTCTCACTGGAGCTGGGAGTGGGTCCCAAGGAGCCTTCCAGGAGTTCACCAGGCCAGCTGATGCTCCGAGTGGCTGTAGGGGCCACATTTCTGTCTAAATTATGCATTCATGGCAGAAGCAATGGGCGTCGTCTTGAGTCCTCTATCAGTCAATACTCTTGTAAAGGAGAACTTTCCTCTCCCTATTTATTTGTTCATTTTATTCATATGAACTCACACATTTTCATTATTGTGTTATAACCCATCGCTCTTCATGTCGTTCTGCCTTTAAACAACCCGGCTAAGTATAGTCCTCCTCTGGCTCCTGGCCTACAGAGCACGGCCCCCACCGCCCAGTGTGAAACCTGCTCTCGGTGGAGCTAAGGGAGGCTGTGAATTAATGCCGTAACTGCAGTACAGCTCCGTTTGGTGGTCCATGAGCTCTTTGACTGATGGTCCACTTCAGGGTGGCCTCGGTCCCTGTGAAGACTGCACATGGTTCAGATGTTGACATTATGTTGCAATGGCCATCCCTCCCTTTTGTCTCCCCTGTAGGTTCCTCAGAGGTTTTCCTGCCCCCAAACCCCATCTTCGCCTCCGCCATGTCTGAAAGTGAAAATGTGTTCTGCGCCCAGCTCCAGTGCTTCCACTTCCCCACCCTCCGCAACCACGATCTGCACAGCTGGCATGCGGAGAACTGCTACGAGAAGTCTTCGTTTCTTTGTAAAAGAAGTAAGCCACCTTGAACTTGACTCCTTTATGAGCTGGAAGGAATGGTGCTTTTGTGACAATGTGGCTTTCTAATTTCAGAAACTCTCAAAACTAAACTGCCAAGACTGGTTTGGCTCAGTGGATAGAACGTCCGCCTGTAACTGAAAGGTCCCAGGTTCGATTCCGGTCAAGGGCATGTACCCTGGTAGCAGGCACATCCCCAGTAGGGGGTGTGCAAGAGGCGGCTAATCGCCTCTTGCACACCCCCTACTTTCTTTCTCATTGATGTTTCTAACTCACTATCCCTCTCTCTTCCTTTCTGTAAAAAATGAATTAAAAAAATATTTTTTTAAAAAACCACAAAAACTAAACTGCTTAGGCAGCTTTTTATTATTTATTTATTTATTTCAGAGAGGGAAGGAGAGGGAAAGGTAAAAACATCATTGATGAAAGAGAGTCATTGATTGGCTGCTTTCTGCACATCCCCTACTAGGAATTGATCCTGCAATCCTACATGTGCCCTTCACCGGAATCGAACCTTGGACCCTTCAGATCTGTCCACTGAGCCAAACCAGCTAGGGCTTAAGTAGCATAAAAGCAGACACTTCCATGGGCTTTCCCCTGGAACCTGGTACTCTCTGTTCTAGCTTCTAGGTTTGCAGCTAGGTGTGCCCTGGCCAGGTGCGCGTTGTCCTCACAGAGTGTGTAGTGATCTCTCTTGAACAGCACTCACAGGAGGGGGTTCTCAGGCTCATCTTGCCAGCTCCTCTGGTGTTGTTTGTGGGGAGACTTGGGGCTGGTTCTGCTGGTAACATACGTTTGTGTTTGTGTGTGCCTGTTGCAGGTCAAACATGTGTTGACATCAAGGACAATGTGGTGGATGAAGGGCTCTACTTCACCCCCAAAGGAGATGACCCGTGCCTGAGCTGCACCTGCCATGGGGGGGAGCCAGAGATGTGCGTGGCTGCCCTCTGCGAGCGGCCCCAGGGCTGCCAGCAGTACCGCAAGGACCCCAAGGAGTGCTGCAAGTTCATGTGTCTGGACCCAGGTGAGACTGATGCTGGTCACAAGTCAGCCTCCCCATTCAGGGCCAGAGGCTTCATGGTCCATTGTTTCCTCAGTGGCAGGGGCTTGTGAGAAGTGGAGTCCACAGCACATGGCATAGCAGCGGTGGCAGCATTTGCCCACAGAGCTGTCTCAGGCTTTGATCAGCAAATATTCTAATGCACCGGTGTCTCTCACACGACCAGCCTCCTCGACCTGCTGTCTCTCAGGTTGGCTCATTTTAGCTGTAGGGTTGCAGGTGTTCACTGATGAACTTGAACTTGAGTGTGGCTATATGTTCACAAATCAACTGAAATTGATGACTTCAGAACTATCTCCTTTCCTTTTTAAGACTAAGAGCAAGACTTCCAACTTACATACCAGTTTGAGCTCTTCCTGTTTTCTGAGTGTGGTGATGTGGTGGGTAGTGACAATTTTCATTACTTAACAGTAATCAATTTTTGCTATTAGAATCTTTAAGAAAAAGATTAAATCTAAAACTCCTCACTAGGTGGCACTTTGCAGGTGGACACTTTGCAACCATGTGGTCTCTGGGTGATATTTCTTCCACTTTCAAAAAAGACCAGCAGGTGGGGCTCCTGCTCTGTAGGACACGTCACAGTTCATGTGGTGCACTGGATGGTTCACCACGCCAATGCAGTTGACATCTTTGTATCAATTCACAATCTCAGGAGAAATGTAAACAAAAAGCATAAATTTGTTTTCTGTCTTGGCTGCCACAGTACGAGAGTGACGTGGGCAGAGACTTGTGAAAGGCCCTGGACTCAGGCCCTGCAGAAAAGCAGCTTGGGTGGGCGTGGTAGTTCTTTCCATCCCTTGGGGCCCCCATGGATGAAAGCTGGTTTGCCTAGTTCTAGTGGGAACTGGAGCTGGCACATGAGAGCCACAACAACAACTGTTCCAGAGAGCTGTCTTTTGCAGAGAGTTGTCAGGAAGGCTGCTGGCAAGATGGCAGATCAGTGTCAGAAGCTACTTAAGGCTCAGCAAAAGGGGTGCTGTGGCCCATATCCCATCAGAGGTGCACAGTTGGCTGTGCAGAGTGCAGAGGCCATGTATGACCAGATGTAGATACACAAGAATGACCGGTCTGTGGGCTGAGTGGCTTGTGAAGCCCGCCCAGCTCTGAGGACTTCTCAGGAGACCAGGGCCCTCAGGACATCTGGGTTGCAGGCCACGCCCGTATACCAGACAGCATAGCCAGGGCCTTCCCCTGCCCCTGGCCTCGGCCTTGCTGTTGCAGGCTCCTGACAGCCTTCCAGGTCAGGTGCCTTCTCCTAGGAAGTGTCCCTTTAACAAGGCAAGATTGTCTGCTCTCACTAGTCTGTTCAGGGTTGTACAGGATATCAGGGCACATGCCCAGGAGGCAGCTGATCAATGATTTTTCTCTCATCACTGATGTTTCTTTCTCTTCCTCTCCATTCCTCTCTAAAAACAATAAAAAATATATATTTTAAATAAATACATACTTAAATAATAATAATAACAATAATAATGCTAGGCTTGCCTGGTCAGTGTGGCTTGGTTGAGTGTCGTACCCAGGGATCGCTAGCTCAGTTCCCATCCACGACATATACTGGGGTTGCTGGCTCGATCCCCAATAAGGGCTGTGCAGGAGACAGCCAAATGATGTTTCTCTTTCATCGATGTTTCTGTCTCACTCTCACTCTCCTTCCCTCTCTCTCTGAAATCAGTAAAAACAAATTTTACAAAAAGAATGCTAGGATAGAGGGAGATGCTGCCTGGGCCCTGAGACCCCACTGCCTCTGCCCAAAGATTTTGGGTGCAGTCCAGACTCCAGCTCTGTTGAAACTGTTGTGGAACACCAGGTCCTCCACCATGGAGCTGGCCAACAGCAGGGACATGACCTCAGCCTCACTTAAGTAGGGACTATGGCCCAGCATCGAGATGAGCAGGGTGAGCTGATCAACCGCATCTCAGGTTTAGCCCTGTGTGAGGACTTGCTCCCAGTGTGTCTCTCCTCCTGTCCTCTAGATCAGCGGTCCCCACCCAGTGGTCCATGAGGTCCGAGAGCTTGGTGACCGCTGGTTTAAGAAAACGTTTAGAGCAGCGGTTGCCAACTGGTGGTCACTGACCACTGGTGGTCCATGAGGTCATAAAGGTTGGTGGCTGCTGCTGTGGATCATGAGTGCCAAAATTGAGCCTTTGTCAGTGCTGAACACACTTTGATATATCCAGGGTTCCCACCAACAGAGAGGGTTAGTCGAAGTAGGGTATGGGGAGGTCCAGGATTAGAACAGCCACTGATGGACAAGAGAAGTAGAGGGGTGTAAACGGACTCTGAGGGCCCAGTAGAGGCCACATTCTCACACTCCTCCCTGATCACCGGCCTCCACGTGGAGCACTGCTGAGTATGAGGGAGGAGCAAAGAACTCTGGGAGCACCCTGATGGGGCTGGAGCCCAGGTCTGAACTCAGTTCCCTCTGTATAGGGACTTTCCTCCTCCTCTGTAGGGTTGTGAGAGATCAGAGAGGTGTTGGATGCTGCAGCCTGGTGCACAGGCCCATTCTGTTTGGCACTTCCTATCAAGCTCCTGTGGCTTCCAGGGGCTCACCCAGCAGTAGGGATGAGTGGGCACATGGGCCTCTGAGAAAGACTGAGGGAGGGGCAAGCCACATATCCATCTCATATGTTAAAACTTCCTGGCCATGAGCTGCTGCTCTCCTGTGGTAGTGGTGTGGTACTAGTGACCCAGTGCACAGATTCATGCACATTGAAAGGATATTAATTAGAAGGTGGCTGGTGGGGCAGGACTGGGTGAGACAGGCCGGACATACTCTGGAGCCAACCTCCTGTGGTCCCTCAGCCTGGATTGTGGGGATCGGGCTGAAACCAGCTCTCTGACACCCCCCAAGGGCTCTCTGCAAAGTTGCTGTCGTACAGGGTGTGGAACGCAAGTGTGCAGTAAACCAGATTCGGGGCCGACAGTGCCCCAGCAACAACATAACCCACGGCCGAAGGTGGAATCACATGGCCCCACGAGGAATAGGGCTCTCTCCTCTCTGATTTCGGGGTGCATCACCCAAGAACCGCTGCTGCCAAGTCATTTCAGCTTAGTAGCTCCTGCATTGAGAGTCTGCCCCCTGGTGGTCACCGAGTGTCATAGCAATCAGTTGGTCAAACTGTATTAGCTGTGTGTGTGTGTGTGTGTGTGTGTGTGTGTGTGTGTGTGTATTCTTTTCAGCTTTTTTGTTTCTATCATCATAAGATTGTGTCGGGAAATAAGTTGCCTTGTCCACATAGTTGTGTGTGGAGGTACATGGCCTTCTCATAGCACTGAGCATCTGGATCAGAACCTCCTTTTCTGAGAGCAGCGGGGTTTTTCCCTTCTCCTCTAACAGATGGGAATAGCCTGTTCGACTCCATGGCCAGTGGGATGCGTCTCATTGTTAGCTGCATCTCCTCCTTTCTCATCCTGTCCCTGCTGCTTTTCATGGTCCACCGGCTACGCCAGAGGCGCCGGGAGCGCATTGAGTCCCTGATCGGAGCAAACCGTGAGTGCCCAGCCCCTGCCGATGATGGCCACAGTGCCGGCCTGCCCTTGGCTGTGTCTCCAGGAGAATGGGGACACAGGAAGCAGGAAGGTGCAGGGAAGAAGTGGGGGACATGATGGAGGGTGTCCCACCCACCCACCTGCTCCTGGGCTGAGTGCACACCTGGGGCACTAGGGGAGCTCTGTGCAGGACCGAAATCAGTCCACAGGCACGTGGAAGAAGGGTGTACCTCCAGTGCCCGCTGACGCTGCGCTTTCCCGCCCTTGCTCTCTGAAGCAGTCTGGCCTAGACCATGAGTGCGGCCTTCTGCTAGGAGAGGGAATCAGCAAATGCCCGTGGACATAAGGCAACTTAGAGAGTGCGGCTCACCCTCAGTCCAGCTTGTCTGCAGTGGCCTATGCCCCCAGGAGAGCTGAAATCATCCCTTGAAATCATCCCAGCAAACAAGCCAGGGCTCCGCAGTCCTGTGTGGGGCGGGACAGGTGCGGGCAGGCAGGAGAGGATCAGAATCAAGGTGGCAAGAATGCTGAAGGCCCGTACTAGCTTCCATTAGGGGCCTTGTGTCCCTGGGGAGCCCGGGTCAAGTCTGAAGTGTGGACCAACCGGGTTTCCACTTTCTTCAGTTCTCACGAGTTCAGTTCTCAGGGAGAGCAGAACTTCAAGGCAATCATGGGCTAGACACCCAGAAACATTTTAGAGCTGGAAAGGTGTGGCGAGGGCCGGAGCACAGCAGGCAAACCTCTTGCATGTGAGTGACGAGCGGAATGTACCGACTGGGGAAGGAGGCACTGGGCGAGTATCAGGACTGGTGGGCAGCTAGGCACAAAAGTGACCGTCGGAAAGTCTGGGCGGGGGTGAGAGGGCAGGCCTAGGCCTGGGGGAGGCAGGGCTCAGGAGCTGAGTTGTGCATCTTCCAGTGACATGACCCTGTTGCTTGTTTCTCACTTCCATTGCCCAGTGCACCACTTCAACCTTGGCCGGAGGATCCCCGGCTTTGATTATGGCCCAGACGGGTTCGGCACAGGCCTCACGCCGCTACACCTCTCTGATGATGGAGAAGGCGGGACTTTCCACTTCCATGATCCTCCGCCCCCCTACACTGCGTACAAGTACCCAGACATTGACCAGCCTGATGACCCACCGCCACCCTATGAGGCCTCCATCAACCCTGACAGCGTGTTCTACGACCCTGCAGGTGCTTCCCCCACAGGGAGAGGGAGCGGCCTGTCACCAGCCACCTGGCCTGCAGGGCCGGAGTCTCGGGGTCCTCCCCACCGCACAGGGCTGTGAACTCGGCTTCCTCCAAGCCTTCTGTTGCTGTCTCTGATTTTCCCTTGAAAGTAGAACTGCCACCTGTGGGTTGTCAGGCTCTTCCCAGGGTGCAGGTGCAAATGACTGCTGACGGCGGTCACTGATCATCCTGCCTCTTAACCTCCGCCTGGGAGCAGTCCTTAGACACCCAATCCTAGCTCTATGGAGACCTGGGAACCTGGCATTGCAGGCATGGGGATAGGGCTGGCACAGAGCCAACTGCTGGGCTATGCAGACACGTGCACGTGTAAGCTGGAGAGGCAGCTCTGTGGCATGGGAGGAAAGCATTGGCGCGGTGATGCTGGGCCAGTCACCTGAGCGTGCTCCTCCCAGGGCTGTGCAGGAGCCTTGCCCATTGCTTGGCCTGCCCTGTCCCTGGTGTGTAGTGCAGATGTCCCACTCTTCTCCCCATTACCCCTGCCGCACATTGCAGGCAGTGCCCCACCCCGGGCTCCTGGCTCTGCATACCCACACAGCACAGCAGGATGGTGTTGTGAGGCCGGCACTGTTGTGTTCTGTGTGCTCTTTGTTCATTTGGTCACCTAGTACCTCTCCTGGTCTGTGTGGGCAGGAGAAGTTTGAATTGAACCCCAGCCCTAGGAACGGGTTGTCGCCATCTGCTGTCGGGGGACCCGGGTAGAACAAGCTTCCCACCAGGATGCTGCTGGGGACCCAGCGCCTCCATGGACCAGGCTGCAGGGGAGCAAATGGTCCCAGGGTAGGGCAGCAGGACTGCTAAGTCCCTGGGGAGTTGGCCAGGAGAGGGACACAGACTGGGCCCCATGCCGAGCTGAGAGAGAGCCTGTGGTGATAAGGAGCAGGCACGCCAAAACGAGCGACGGAGTGGGCTTCTGTAGAGCGGCTGTCAGACCAGCTGTCTGCAGGCCCCTGCCCAGGCTCATCTCATGCTCTTGTTCCCATATTCCAGTGGCAGCTTCTGGTCTGGGGGCTGCAAACACTGTTCCACTTGCCCACCTACAGCCCAGTAATGCCCTAATGTCACATGGGTCTTGGTTCAACCCCCACTGAATCTGAAAGGGTTTCCTCGTCCCCTGCCTTGATTCTCCTAACTCTGTCAAAGTGTACCAGCCACACACTGGGGCGTGGTCATAACTGTACCCCTGCACCTTGCACCATGACAGCTGCAAATGTGGCAAGGGTGAGGGGTGAGCACAGCAGAGCCACAGCTTCAGTGGAGCATTCAGGCAAGATAAGCGTCCCCAGTTCTGTCTCCCTACCTTCTTCTCTCATACCAGGCCCACCCACCACCCTGCTGACACCCCTCTGTCTCCTCCTATAGATGATGATGCTTTTGAGCCAGCAGAGGCCAGCCTGCCGACCCCAGGGGATGGTGACAGTGAAGGTGTGTCACCCCAGTGCCTGGAGCAGCCTCTGCCCTCCGCAGGGGTCACCCTGGCAGACCTGGAAGACTCAGCCGACAGCAGCAGCATCCTGCTCGTGCCCCCCGACCCTGCCCAGAGTGGGACGCCCCCAGCCACAGAGGCACTGCCAGGAGTTGGCTGCCACAGCCGCAGTTCCCTCAATACCGTGGTGTAGAGGATGCCCAGCCCGTGGCCCCAAGGGGCATGGAGCACCTGTTTGCTGTCAAGGAAACTGATTCCCATGGAGACTGGAAGGGCCCTCTGTGAGCCTGGACTCAGCTGCACTGCTGCACGCCCTCCCCTTAGGTGTGCGCGTGCGTTCAGAGACTGCGCCAGCCTCCAAGGGAGCGAGCACCTGCACCGAGTCTCCTTGAGGGCTTCAAAACACGCATAGCTTTGGGTCACTGTCTTTTTCTTTTTAAATGACAGAAGAATGACAGGTTGTTCATGCCACACGTTTCAGAAGTAGGGAACAAAGAAGGTATGTGGGCCTGGGTGGAGGCCAAACCACACCAGACTTTGGTGGGTTTGCTCATGGCAGCACGTTGTTCAGAGGAGCCTGCTGCCCAGCCACCAAGCCCCAGAGCTGCCACAGTGTGCCTCGCTGGCCACTGCTCAGGAAGGCACTTCTGGGCACCAGTGTGTGGGGACTGTCTGGGCAGTGAGTCTGCTTCAGGGCAGACCGCCTTTAGAGTTGCTCCAGTGGCTGCTCTGAGGGCGGCCCTCCCAGGTCTAGCTTGGACATTGAGGGTGACCCTGCCTTGGCTCTGGTGCCCACGGCCCTAAGAAGGGGAGCCTGGAAGGGGCTTGAACTCCACTCTGTCTTTCCAGCGGGGCTCTGCAAAGCCCAGCTCCGTGCCAGAAATCCCTGTCCCTAGTCCGTTGGATTTCTCCCTAGCATTACTGTGCATGGCCCCCAGGAGGCAGCTCTGGAGCTGGGCTGAGGCCCTTAGCCATGCATGAGTGCCCTGGCCCTGGATCCTTCACTTGAAGGCTGAGCCAGCTCCTCTTTGTTACCCTCTGGAGCCCCCTCCTATTGAATTTGCCCTGGACAAGGCCTGCCCCCACCCCCCTCTTTGTGCCATAAAGGGTTAACTGTGGGGAGGGGTGGCTGAAATTAACATCCCTGGGCTGTGTCCACCTCCTGAAAGTCCACTTCTTGCACATCACCACCACCACTAGAGCTGAGTGCCTGGTGGCTGCATGCCACCTTCCTGTCCTTAGCACAGGGTGCTGGGTGCCCTGCTCAGGGGCCTTTTGACTGAGGGACCCTGTTGCCTACTCCTGAGCAGCGGTCTTGTCTCCTGACACCAGGCTGTTAGCGTTTCTGAGGTTTGGAGATGAAGCGGGTTCTGTGCGATTTTTTAGCACATCCATATCTTTTCTACGTTGAATGTCTAGATCTTTTTTGCGCGCGTGCACGTGTGTGTGTGTGTGTGTGTGTGTGTGTGTGTACGTACATATATGTCCAAGTGTTTGCAGGTGGTGATGGTACACAGGAACTCAATCTTCAATTTCCTGGGCCAACATGGCCTCTTGGGGGCACGGAGGCATGGCCAGGTCTGTGCCTCTTCTGAGGCAGGCTCTCTGTCATCTTCCCAACCCAGCCGCCCAGCTCCTGGTCCTCCTCTCAGCCTTTCTGAACCAACATGCAGCGAGGGGAGAGCTGGCTTTCGGTGGGTGCTTCCATGGTGGTCTGACGACAGACCTCACAGGCACAGCCCAGTTCTAGGCACATTCTCACACTTTGGTTGGAAACCAGTTTTGTTGAGTTGTTCCACAAGGCTGTCCAGAGATGTGAGTTTGGTCACTGAACTGCCTGTCCTTGGGCTCGGCCTGCAGAAGCCAGAGGGCTGCTGCTTTGAGAAGGGCATCCTGGGCACATGTGCCCCTGCTGGCTGCTGAAAACAAAGCAGGGAGTGTGTGAAGCCTCCAGCATACACTGAACACAGCAGCCATTTTCCAGAGCAGCGGTCACAGCCCCGTGGGCGCTGGGTTAGGGTCCTGAGTGGGCCTACTTTGAAATGGCCGCCCCAACGAAATCCTGCAGGGTCTGCCCCCCACAGCACCAGGTCCCCTTATCCCAGTGTCTCCGGCCCAGGCTTCAACTGTGTATACAGGCAGTGGCTGGTACTAGATTGTGGGACTGGGGGGCTTTTGCGGACCTAAAGATTGCTGGGGACAGGCGCGCAGGAGGTTCTAAGGAGAGGGTGCCCTGAATCAGATCGTGGGGGCTGCAGAGGGTGGGCCCAGAGTGTTCAGCCTACTGGCCTTCTTGGGCTGGGCAGAAGGCTGCCTGCTGCCCACTGAGTCTCCCAGAGCCGAGCTCTGCTTAAAGGTGGTTGTGAGGGCATCGGGGAAAGCTGTGGTTACCCGGCTGACCTGGGCCTCCTGTCCAGTCACCACCCTTTGTAAGATCTGATGAGCTCCAGGTCCAACCCTGGCTGAGACTAGTGTTCGTGTGAGAGGAGGGCTCCCACCCCATGCACACGGCCTCCAGAGGGACAGGCCAGGGTCCCGGGAGGGCCTCCTTCCCCGGGACCTGACCTGCCTGGTGGAGGTGGGAGTCGAATCTGTACATTGTCTCAATGCCTGTTTTCTATGTTTTCCTTTCACTAAGGGTTTTAGTTTGGGTTTATTTTTGGTTAGGTTGGCACTAATCCTTAAGATGCTGTGAGAACCATTTCATCCAAATGCCAAATAAATTTGAGTTCTGGAAGAGGTGTGGTCAGTCCTACGTGTGATTCATGTTGGGAATGGGAGGCTCTGGCCAAGACGGAGCCAAGGCACAGGGGCGAAGATGGGGGGAGTGTCAGGCTTGTGGCTCCGAGACCCTCTGCCCCTTCTTTCCTCAGTGGTCCTTTCTATAAGTTCCTAGTACGTGATGTGGGACAAGAGGGCACCCAGGGGACTCGGCCTTTGGCAGGGCTTCCTGCTCATCTTCCTAACCTAGCCTCCTGGCCAGAGGGCCTCAGGCAGGGCTGGGGTTAGGAAAAGAGCCAGTGAGTCCCTTGGAGGCCCCTCTTTCCAGAGCATTCTGTGGGATGGCAGGCTGTCCTGGGCGCCTGGGTGCTGTCAGCACCGAGGACAGCTCCACTGGGTACAACCAAGTGGAAGAGCCCAGCCTTTTGGGATTGGAAAGAGGGATTGGAAGAGCCCAGCCTTTTGGGATTGGAAAGAGGCGCAGGAAAGAGGCGCAGACCAATCTCCCACCTCACACACACCCAGTCATGTTCACACCTGTGGGCTCACCGAGCCCTTTCCAGAAAGTGTTGCCTTCTCTCCTGCCCACCCTGAAAGAAGTCAGCCTCACTTCCCAGGAGGGTGAACTGTGGCCCGGGCCCAGCCTGGGGTCCTCGCCACCGCTGCTGAGGAACCCCCCCCCCCCCTCGTTGACCTGGGCTGGTCAGTGGGGGAAGCCGTGGCTTCCTGGAGACCTGTGTGTGGGCTGGTTCTCCGAAGGAAGGAGAGTAAAGCAGAGCTCCATCTCACACTGGGTCAGGGGAGCTGGTCTTGGGGTGTCTTGTCTGCTCCAGTGTAGAAGACCCTCCTATACCCTCCCCATCGCAGCCCCTCAAGTCAAGGCCACTAGGATCCAGGTGCCTTCTCCCTTGAGTTTCCATCTTGATGGCCTTGCCTTGTCACTCCTGGTCCCTGTAACTGGGCATCTTTAGACTCTCTCCTAGGAGGGTTAATGGGGGTGAGCTTTTAGCTCCAGGAAATGGCAATTGTTACTGGCATGTATCCCTAGTATCAGAGCCTGGTGAGCCCAGAGCTCCCTCTTCCCTGCTGTTGGCCCTGCCTGGGCACTGACCCTCTGACCCTCATGGAAAGCCTACAGGATGCAGCCACGCCCACCTGGCCGATACATATACAGCCGCCTGGCTGCAGCAGCCTCCACACTCCCATTCCTGCCAAGTCTGCAGCAGCCACACCATGTTCCCTGGCTTCATGCTCACCTTCCTCACAGTGTTGGAAGTGGTGTGTGCGAACTCAGAGGGTGAGCACCAGGGACTCTGAATCCCCACTCCCCACGCCCTGACCTAGGGCCATACACTGACACAGTCACCTGCAGGCAGATGGCCCTACAGGGAAAGAGGACAGAAGGCTCTCCTGGCACATGGCCACATACCTACAGTGGGAACTCCCACCACCGGCTCACACGTGGGCTGGCCATTCACGCTATTCATATGAGAGACCCATAAGCGACCCTCCACTACCCCTCCACAGCCAGTGTCAGAGCCCCATCCAGAAACCCCAGGTCTCTCAGAGGAAGATGCACCCCCATCCAACCTACACACTGAGTCAGATGAAAGGAGAAACGTTAGCAGGTTCCAAACATACCACCTGCCCTGACCAGGTGGCTCGGCTGGTTGGAGCATCATCCTGTGCGCCATAAAGTTGTGGGTTCAATTCCCTGCCACGGCACGTACTTAGGTTCTGGGTTCTATCCCCAGTTGGGGCACATTCAGAAAGCAACCAGATCCATGTTTCTGTCTCACGTCGATATTTCTCCCTCTCTAAAAATCAATAAAAACGTATCTTTAGGTAAGGAATGAATGAACAAAACAGATTAAAACACCACCACCTGATAAAGCCTAAGATTACACATTTTATTTCAAAAATGAGCGGGCACTGACCCCAGGTCACTGAGTGGTTAGAGGAAGATTCCGGGTAACGTTTCCTGGAGGCCAGGAGGAGAGAAGCACTGGTTCCAGGTTCTGCAGGCTGCCCTCGGTGGGTGGGTCCTGGCGACAGGGACAGCTGCACCAGATGACACTCCAAGAGCTTAGCCTGTGGAGTATGAGTGTCCATGACACTCCGGGAGCTTAGCCTGTGGAGTCCGAGTGTGCATGACACTTTCTGAAGAGACACCGGCGCCCAGGTCACTGCCTGTGGGAGGCCAAATGAGGGGTAAGTGTCCAGGTGTCACTGTCCAAAGCAAAGCCGAGAGTGCAGGTGTGGCCGCTGACCGGTGCCTCTGCACCGCCACGCTGTCCGCGAGAGGCCGGGTTTGGTGGTCAGTGGAGTGAGGGCCGGTCAGGCTGCTGTGCAGTTGGTGCCTGTGATGTGGTTGTACATCCAGGTGACACTGATCTGAGTGGTACTGTATCAGGTGAGTGTTCCAGCAGCCCATGTGTCCCAAGTGTCTGCTGCTTGGTGTGTGGTCATACTCCATATCCCAGTGCACGCAGGCACGGCCTTTCCCCCAAACCCTTAAAGAAAAGGAAAGGAAAGAAAAAAAAAACACACACACACACACAAAAAAAAAACACCTGCAACCCCCTCCTCCTAGGCCGAGGGGTCCACTTGCTGCAAGCCCTTGGCTCTCCCTGGAGGCTGACACACCCCAGGACCAAACATTGCCCAGCTCAAAGGCCAAAGGGGCTCCGGACCTCCTCCAGCCCCGACTCAGTCTCCAGAAGTTGTCGCTGGCTGCCCTGAGCTCGGCCCACCAGGGGCAGATCTGCCCATTCACCCCTCCTGCACTGCTCCCAGCTCACCCTCCTCAGTCCCCACCGCCCTGCGCGCCCCGGGGGGCCCCGGCGTCTTCTTCAGGTTCTTCCGGGCGGGGGCCTGGTTCGCGGGGCCGTTCGCAGGGCCGTTCACGGTGCCGTCGGAGGCGTCGTCCGCGGGCCTGGTGAAGGCGGCCAGGGCGTTCACGGTGCCGAGCGCCCGCAGCAGGGCCGGGCCGCGGGGCGCAGCGCGGGGCTCGCGGCGGCCGGGCGGCGGCGGCGGCGGCAGCAGCGCGCGCAGGGCCTCCAGCTCCGCCCGCAGCTCCGCGCGCAGCGCCTCGAGCCCCGCGCCCAGCTCGGCGCGCACGGCCGCCAGGCCCTCCTGCAGCCGCCGCTCGCTCACCTCCAGGACGCCCGCCGGGTAGGTGGCCCCGCCGCGCGGCTCCCCGCACACCGAGCACACGGAGCCCCGGCTGCGCGCGTCCTCCCGCGCCCCGGCACCGGCACCCTGGTCTCCGGCCCCGGCACTCTGGGCCCCGGCCCCGGCCGCCGCCCCCGCGCGCTCCACCAGCCGCAGCAGCCGCGGAGCGCCGGCCCGCGCCTCCGCCTCCGCCGGCAGCTGGCCGCGCAGGCGAGCCAGGCGCCCGGGGGCGCGGGCTTCTTCGGGGCCCGGCCCGTTGGGCTGGGGCCCCGGGTCCCGCCGGCGGTCCGCGCCGCGCCGCAGGGCCTGGCTGGCACCGTACGCCCTGCGAGCCTGTGTCCACTGGCGCCCCGACTCTGCCGCCATCCGCGCTGTAGCCGCCAGCGCCAGTGGCACCGGCGCCCGGCTTCCCGGAGCCCCAGGGCGCAGCCTAGCAACCGTGGGGCCCGAGCCGCACACGGCGGAGAGGACCCCCGGGACCGCTGTGGGGACATCCGAGGCCTCCAGGGATCCTGCCCGGGGCGGGAGATCCCCGGCAAGGCTGAGGCCCACGTGGTATGGCAGAGCCCCGGGGGGCCTTGGGGAAAGGGCACAGCGCAGGCTTTGTGTGTGTGTGTTTTGTTTGTTTTGTTTAAAATATACTTTATTAGCCGGGACTGGTTTGGCTCAGTGGATAGAGCGTCGGCTTGGGGACTGAAGGGTCCCGGGTTCGATTCCGGTCAAGGGCATGTACCTTGGTTGCGGGCATATCCCCAATAGGGGGTGTGCAAGAGGCAGCTGATCGATGACTCTCTCTCATCGATGTTTCTAACTCTCTATCTCTCTCCCTTCCTCTCTGTATAAAATCAATAAAATATATTAAAAAAAAAAAAAAAAAAAAAAAAAAGTAAAATTTAAAAAAAAAAAAAAAATAAAAAAAAAATAAAATAAAATATACTTTATTAATTTTTTTTTTACAGAGAGGAAGAGAGAGGGATAAAGAGTTAGAAACATAAATGAGAATCATCGTTCAGCTGCCTCTTACATACCCCCTACTGGGGATGTGCCCGCAACCAAGGTACATACCCCTGACCGGAATCGAACCTGCGACCTTTCAGTCCGCAGGCTGACGCTCTATCCACTCTATCCACTGAGCCAAACCGGTTTCGGCAGGCTTTGTGTTTTGGCCCCTCCCCATTCCCAGACCCTGGGCAGAAGGGACAGGGCTTGGAGCAAGAGTTGCAGAACCCAGGCGTTGATCAGAGTCAGGATTCTATCTCACAACCTCTACTTCACAGTCAAGGTCATGGACCCAGCAGCCCTTCCACTGGCTAGAGCCACCTCCTTCCATAACTTAGTCCACTATTATTTCCCTACTCTGTCCCCACAGCTGCAGGAATCTATCCTTGTCATGGATGCTTCCATTCAAACTCTTTTTTAAAAAATTTAAATATATTTTATTAATTTTAGAGAGGAAGGGAACGGGAGAGAGAGAAAGAAACATCAATGATGAGAGAGAATCATTGCTTGACTGCCTCCTGCAATGCCCTTCACTGTGGATCAAGCCTGCAACCCAGGCATGTGCCCTTGGCCAGAATCGAACTTGGGACCCCTCAGTCCGCAGGCTGATGCTCTCTCTATCCATTAAACCATGCCAGCTAGGGCCCATTCAAACTCTCTAGGGGTCCCCTTGCTCTGGGGTGTGTCCTGCCCTCCAGAGGCGCAGGAGGTCCCAGCTCATCTCACACTGTTTATGTTCAGCCACACTTTGTAAAATATATATATATATAATTGATTTTTTTACAGAGAAAAAAGGAGAGAAATAGAGTTTGAAACATCCATGAGAGAGTCATTGATCAGCTGCCTCTTGCACGCCCCCTACTGGGGATGTACCCACAACCAAAGTACATGCCCTTGACTGGAATCAAAACCAACTGGGATCCTTCAGTCCGCAGGCTGACACCCTATCCACTGAGCCAAACTGGTTTCGGCCCAGCCACACTTTTTAAACCTCCTCTAATCCACTGACCTTCACCCCTCTGGGCCTCTGCTTAGGCCAGTTCTCCTGGCAGGAATGTCCTCCCCACCCCCATGTGCCTGGCTAATCTCATTCATCTCCCTTCTGCCTGGCAGCCTTCCCTGGCCACCTCACACCAACCAGGTAATGCAGGCCCCTTCCCCACAGCATCTCTCCCGTCAGTGTAACTGGCTTTCTGTTCTCTGTCCACCTGGGTCCACAGAAGGGTCCCTGAGCACAGGTCTGGGTCACGTGGTACTCAGTGATGCTAATCGAGGATGAAGGAGTAGCTGGATGGGGGAGCCTAGGGCTGAGGGTCCTCTAGGGGGTGGACTTCCTCCCCCTTCCCTCACCCATGCCGGGCAGCCAGTGCACCTCCTCTACCTGGCATTCGAGGCCCTTATGGCCATCCCTGCTGCCTTTCCTGTCCCTGCCATCTCCTATGGGAGCCCTGCACCACTGCCCTGCACCACTTCCTCCCCCCGCTGCCTGGTGCCTTCACACGTGCAGGGCCATGGACAGTGCACTGTGGGCCCCCCTGGGGGGCAGTGTTCCCACCCAGTATGTTGTTCTCACTGCACCCTAGGGGCTAGTTAAGACTTTGGGTGCCATGGGGCCTCCCCAGCAAATTGTGGAAAGGGAGGGTCTGGCATAGATCCAGGCTGGACTGGGATCTCAGGGCCTGCAGGGGCCTAGCTCTGTGCAGCTCCGTGGGGGTGGGGGGGGATGAGGGTGAGGAAGGGGGTGCTATGGACCCTGTTCATTGGCAGACCTGGCCCCGCCCACTGTAAAGAGGCCTGCGTCCCCTCAGTGTATTAGTTCATTGATTCACTCATCTGTTCATTGCAGCCTGTCTCCCGAAGGTGCCGAGGAGGCGAGAACTTGGCCCTCTGTCAACCAACCCCTCCTGAGTCCCCTGGCCTGCTGGGCCCTCCAGCATCTGGCTCAGCTGCTCCCCCGAGCCTCATTAACCATCCCCTGCCCTCCACCCCAGTAATTAAAATACTGCCAGCAAAAGAGCCCCAGGCTCCCTCCTGAGCCCCTGAGCCCCAGGCTGTGTGATCTGTATGTTCTGCCTTCCCTGAGCTCAAATTAAGTTCTGTTCTGTGAAATGAAGGCGACCCCTCAGATCCCCAGGAGGAATCAGCAAGGAGGCCAGGGGTGTGGGGAGAGGGCTCGGGAGAGACTCCAGATTTGCTGACGGCAGATGTGGCTGTGGGAGGCAACAGGCATGGCTCTGAGAGCCAGGAGAGGCAAGGGGTGGACATGGATGGGACCTTGGAAGGGAGCCCCTTTACTTTTTCGTCATCAATAAAGCTTTCCATGAGCCGAAACTCGTTTGGCTCAATGGATAGAGCTTCGGCCTGCGGGCTGAAAGGTCCCAGGTTGGATTCCAGTCAAGGGCATGTACCTTGGTTGCAGGCACATCCCCAGTAGGAGATGTGCAGGAAGCAGCTGATGGATGTTTCTCTCTCATCCATGTTTCTAACTCTCTATCCCTCTCCCTTCCGCTCTAAAAAGTCAATAAAGTATATATTAGAAAAAAGAAGAAGAAGAAAGGTGGAGTTGGGCCAGAGCCAACACAGATAGAAAAGCCACAGGCACAAAGGACAATTCCACGTTCAGGGCACCTTTCAATGGGAACGCCTCCAATTGGTTCCGACACCGAAACTACATTTCCCAGAAGGCTCTACAGGGTGGAGATGTCAGAGCAGCTCCGGCACTCCAACGGCCTCTGGGAAATGGAGAAGCACAAAGGCTCCCAGGGACAGTAGTTTGTGTCGGGTCTGTGCCGGCACAGTTTCCCGTGAGGACCGCCGCCCTGCTCCTTTGTGGCTGCTGCTTTTGTGGGGAAGCAGTCCGTTCGGTCTGTCCGTCCGCCCTGTTGTCTCTCTGCTGGCCGCATTCCATGCCTCTGGCTCCAGGTGGCGGAGCCTGAGGCCCGGCGCATGGTGCACAAGAGGAGTGTATTGTGGGGTGGAACCTTGGAGTCAAAAATAAGACTGCTAACCGGAGGCTGCTAACTGATTGAAAAGAACAGGCAAGGATTTATTGACCTGGCCAGGATGGCCGTGAGAGCATCACATGCAGGTGGAGTCCACACTCACAACCGCGCTGGTCCAGGTGCAGGCAGTCCTTTTAAAGGTCTAAACCACAAACATTTTCCTTTGTTCTGAATTCTAAATTCTAAATGCTGGGAACAGCCCGCAGGGTTGTTGGAATGTGGACCTCTCTTGCGAAAGGAGATAGTACAGAAGCACAACTGAGCAAAGTTAACCTCTAAAGGTTATCTGCAGTTTCAGCTCCTGGAGCTACTGAGTCCCTGGGAATCAATCTGCTGTGGTCCTGGTCCACAGGCTCAGGAAAGTTACCTTTGTGAGCTTCCAGGTCTCAATCTGGAAGCTGAGGTAACTACCCTATTGTTTAAGCAAGTAAGTGAGTGCAGAAGCCTTCTAGAATAGCAGGGTTAAAATTCAAACAGCAGTTTTTACCTAAGTGTGGTTGCTACCATACTTCAGAGTGTGTGACTGGTTGCGTGGGGCATGGCGGTGGGATGTGAGCACAATCAGGGGTGCGAGGCTCTGTGCGACCCTGCGGGCCTTCCCTGCAGGACCGGCCCCTCTGCCTCTGGCCTGGGGCCTAGGCGGTTGCAGCTATGCCCGTTGCCCAGGTGAACACCACAGCAATGGAGGGCGGTGAGTGGGGCGGGGCCAGGGCGCATGGTTTAATGCACCAGAACTACATTTCCCAGAAGGCCATGCTACACACTCGTAGGGAGTCCGGACGTCAGGGCTATCCTCTGGTGCCCCGAGGTCCTCTGGGAAATGGAGTGCGCTGTCTCCGTGGTACAGCGGATCCGGGGAACTGTAGTTCGCGTCGGGTCCGCGCAGGCGCACTCGCCCACGGCGGACGCCGGGCTGCTCCTTTGTGGTGGTCGTTGTCCTTTTGTGGGCGGCAGGTTGGCGCTCTCGCGTGTCCGTCCATCTGCCTCGGGGTCCGTCTGCCGGCCCCGCTGCGCCCCCACTGTCTCCGGGTGGCCGAGCCCCAGGCCTGCCTGGCCCCGCGCGCGGTCCCCGGAGGAGCGAGGCGCGGCGATGGGGAGTGAGCGCAGCCCGGGCTGCGGGGCCCCCGCTAAACCTGCCAGGCCGCGACCTGTGTGACCGTCTGACCGTGTGACCGTGCGGCCAGGAGTGCATGCGCGGCCCCCCGAGGCCCCCTCCAGGCCGCTGTCCCTGAGCCCCCGGAGCAGGACCCGCTCCCCTGAGCCTGGCCTGGGGCCCAGGCGGCTGCAGAGCTGCCCACGCCTCCGGGGACGCTACCAAGGGCCGCTATGGAGACCCCTGCCCCGAAGCCCCCGGAGACAGGTACAAGAGGCTCTCGGAGGCAGCGGGTCTGTGGGTTTGCAGCTGAGGAGACTGACAGAGAGGCCAGGCCGGTTTCCCGCAGCACCAGCAAAGTCGGGCTTCTGCCTCTACCGCGCCCAGCCATCTGTTCCCACTGTCCGGGGCGTGCTGAGGACTGGGAGGAAATGGCAATGTTTTCCTTCTTAATATTTTATTGATTTTTTACAGAGAGGAAGGGAGAGAGATAGAAACATCCATGAGAGAGATACATCGATCAGCTGCCTCCTGCACACCCCCCACTGGGGATGTGCGGACAACCAAGGCACATGCCCTTGACCGGAATCGAACCCAGGACCTTTAAGTCCGCAGACCGACGCTCTATCCACTGAGCCAAACCGGTCTTGGCGATGTTTTCTTTCTGAATGGGAGCGTCTGACACTGAGTGGCAGGATTAAGCCCTGGTGCTGTGTCAGATTGCGCCGCATACTGGGGCTCCATCCCCACCCCACCTGCGGGGGTGGGTCCTGGCTCCTCTGACTGCCCTGGTGCCAGGTGTGAGTGGTTTTGAGCTCACTCCGTGCACCTGGCTGAACAGCCCGCTGCTCATGTCTCCTCCCCAGCTCTGTCCTCCCGGGACCTTGCTCTTCTGAAAGATAATCCAGAGGATAAATGGGGTCAGGGTCCCCTGGAAACCAGGTCCGAGGTGAGTGGCCGTCTTTTCTTACTTCTGAACATTCTTGTGTTGTTGTTTGTTTGTTTGTTTTGTTAAATATGTTTTTATTGATCTCAGAGAGGAAGAGAGCGGGGGAGGGAGAAACAATGATGAGAATCATTGATGGCTGCCTCCTGCATGCCCCACACTGGGGATTGAGCCCACAACCCAGGCATGTGCCCTTGAGCCGGACCCTTCAGTCCGCAGACCCACAATCTATCCATTGAGCCAAAGTAACTAAGGCTGGTAGTCTTTTTTTTTTTTACATCTTGTTCTTTCTGAAGAGAGTTGGCAGCTTCCTTCAGGAAGCTCTGGGCTTGGGAACAGTTCTGGGTGATGCCCCAGGGGTGCCCTCAAGATGAGTGTCCCTTCCAGCCCAATCCAGTCCAGTGGGTGGGTCAGTGCCCAGGACCTGCCACCCACCTGTGCCAGGAGCTCCACAGAGTGGTTTTAGCAGAGCTCCAGCAAGTAGGTCATACGAGATCACCTGGCTCATCTCCACGTGAAGACCCAGGCGGGGTAGGTGATGGTGGGACCTGTTTGGGGGGGGTTGCTGGTGTGAAATCGGTGTGGGACAGCGAAAGGAAGGGCTGTGTTGCAGTGGTGGGTAAGAGTGATGATGGGGGGGTCTGTCCCTGTGTGCTTCTCCACACTGGGCCCTTGATAGGGGGCCTTCGTGTAAAACGTGGGGTTTCAGAGGATCTGGGGCTCAGCAAGGAATTGGCTCTGGGGCCACTTCTGCAGCTAAGCAGGACCCGAGTCTTTCTTTAGAGGCTTAGGGTTTTGTTCTACCACCTACACTACCCCTACCCGTCATATTATTTAGAAGGATACAGTTGATAAAGAGAGTATGGGGTAGTGAAAAGGCTAGAGGATTGACGTTTTTAGGATTTTGTGGTTCTGTTAACCCCACTTGAAAGATTACAGACAGCTAGGAATAGCTATCAGCCCTGGCCAGTTTGGCTCAGTGGATAGAGCGTCGGCCTATGGACTGAGGGGTCCTGGGTTCGATTCTGGTCAAGGGCACATACCCAGGTTGCGGGCTCAATTCCCAGTGGGGGGCATGCAGGAGGCAGCCAATCGATGATTCTCATCATTGATGTTTCTATCTCTTCCTCTTCCTTCCTCTCTGAAATATATATGTTAAAAAAGAAAAAAAAAAAAAAAAAAAAAGGAATAGCTGTCAAACTGTGAGATGTACCCAGCTTCTGTAATGTGCTAGAATGTTCTGTAATTTAGTAAAATACTCAGGAGACATGACAATCAAAGGCAATACATGATTCACAATGCCTCACAGATCCAAAAATTCTGTCAAAGGCAGTTTGGGACAGTTGAGGAAATTTGAAAATGGATTGTATCAATATTAAATTTTCGGGGTGTGATGATGGCACTGTGATTGTGTAAAAGAATATCCTTAGGAGACGCCAGGCTGGTATGGCTGAGTGTTAAACCATGTACAAGAGGTCACTGGTTCAGTTTCTGGTCAAGGCACAGGCCTGGGGTGTAGGCTCAGTCCCATTAGGGGCGCGTACGGAGGTAGTGAACTGATGATGTTTTTCTCTCATTGATGTTTCTCTCTCTATATATATATCCCTCTCTTTTCCTCTCAAAAATCAATAAAGGGGATTTTTTTTTAAGGAAACCAAAGTTATATATATATATTTTATTGATTTTGTACAGAGAGGAAGGGAGAGAGAGAGTTAGAAACATCGATGAGAGAGTCATCAATCAGCTGCCTCTTGCACACCCCCTACTGGGGATATGCCCACAACCAAGATACATGCCCTTTACCAGAATCGAACCCAGGATCTTTCAGTCCCCAAGCCGACGCTCTATCAATTGAGCCAAACCGGTTTCGGCAAATTTTTTTTTTTTTTAAGAGAAGTTCCTTGGGAGATATAAGCTGAAAAATGTAGGCTGGGATGTCATGGTATCTGCATCTTACCTTCAGATGATTTAGCAAAGTGCAACATGTGCGCGCACGCGTGTGTGTGTGTGTGTGTGTGTGTGTGTGTATGTGTATGTGACTACCTCGAGGAAATGCCCTTCTTGTGCATAGGAGTGATTCTTAATCCCCAGTGCTCCTCTCCAGCGCCTCACTCACACCCATGATCGAGTGCTCTGCTGTCCTGGGACATCCTCAGGGTCCATCCGCCTTCCCCACGAGTTTGGTCATCACCTGTGCGTTGCGTTCCATAGAGGCCCTGGGCTCTTCGTTTCCTGCCCCGCAGAATGAAGGCCACCTGACATGGTCTTCTCCCAGGGGGCTGGGAACACCCCTCCAAGAAGGGCCCTGCGAGGCCCAGATTGTACCCCACTCTTGCTCATTGACAACCCCCACTCATCAGCACTACATTATATATATGATTTATATATGTGATTTATAGATTTATATTTATGTAGTGCTGATGAGTGGGGAGGGTTTGCTGGTGTGAAATCTGTGTGTGTGTGTGTGGGGGGGGGTTTGCAGGAAGCAGCCGATCCATGTCTCTCTCATCTATGTTTCCATCTCTCCGTCTGCCTTCCTGTCCCTCTAAAATCAATTAAAAAATCAATTAAAAAAAAAAAAATCTAACATTTTTTAAAAAGCTATCTTTGGGGGGGAAAAAAAGCTATCTTGATTTCTTTCTTTTAATCTTTATTGCTATAGTGTTACAGGTGTCCTCCCCCGAGACACACACACACACACACACACACACACACACGCACACACACACACTCACACTCACACATGCACTCTCACACTCACACTCCCCCTTCTACCGGGTTCCCACCCCACCCCAGGCCTTCACCCCTTACTGTGTCCATAGATAAAATCTTTGGCTAATCTCTTCCTGCTCCCCTTCTGAGTTTCGTCAATCTGTTCCATGATTCCATGCCTCTGATTCCTTTTTATTCACCAATTTATTTTGTTCATTAGATTTCTTGTTTGCTTTTGATTTTTAGATTAGATTGTTGATAGATATGTTTGTTCCACTTTATTGTTCATATTTTTTGTCCCTCTTCCTCCTCTATCTCCTCTTCCTCTTCCTCTCTCCTTCAATAATACCCTTCAGCATTCCCTATAACACTGGTTTGGTGGTGATGAACTCCTTTAGCTTTTTGGCTCAGCCTCTCACCTCCTGAGCTGAGGTGTGCCCCTGTGTGGGCTGTGTGCACTGTGTTATAGTTGAGCCTTGATTGCTGTTGGTGTCTTTGGGAGGAGTTGACCTCCAGGCCAATTGGCTGGAGGACCAGCTGCAGACAGTGGGAGAGCTGCTATGAAGCAAGGCAGGCTGGTGCTAGTCTGGTCATGGGCTTTTTATTGATGGGTTTGGGGCACACTGTCACCAGCTGCAGCTCGTTTGAGAGATTTTAGCAAAATCTGAAGCCTGAGTCAGGACAGGCCATTCTTATGGAAAAGCTGCTGCAGACAGCCCTGGGTGGGGCTGCACATTGGATGGGGCAGGATTCAGGAATCCCCAAGGCGGAGCAAACAGTGTGCTCCAGGCTGGTTGAGACTCAGATGTGGCTGCCGGTCAGCCCTGGGACAGGGAGGTCCCAGCACAGGAACAGTGACCCCTGTGAGCACCCCCATCTGGGTGAGAGCCACCCCTGAGTTCCTGGCCTGATGCCAGACAGTCCAGTCCCTCCCTGTGTGTATCTGGTTCCGGTGCTGGAGCTCGGAAGAAGCGGGGCTGGGTAAGTTTGTTTGCTGTCCCTTTAAGAGGGACACCTGGGCTTGTAGCAGCCTCATGTCACTCAGGCATATCCCTCTGGTTTTTACTGCCCGAAGTTACAGGGATTCTCTTCCCAGCTGGGACCCTGGCCTGGGGGTCTGGGCCCCCTTGCTCCTCACGGGTGGGCTTTGAAGATCCCATCTCCCTCCTGATTAAAACACCACATGTGGTGCCATTCCAGCTCATTCTGGCCTCAGCCTGCCTACCAGTCTGTGTGCTGCTGCTTTCCTTCTCCTCCACTCAGCCAGCTCTCAGGCGGTTCTGAGTGATGGTGGTTCTGTATTTTATAGTGTCATTTTAAAAAATATATATATATATATATTTTTATTGATTTTTTACAGAGAGGAAGAGAGAGGGATAGAGAGTTAGAAACATTGATGAAAGAGAATCATTGATCAGCTGCCTCCTGCACACTTCCCACTGGGGATGTGCCCGCAACCAAGGTACATGCCCTTGACCGGAATCGAACCTGGGACCTTTCAGTCCACAGGCCTACGCTCTATTCACTGAGCCAAACCGGTTAGGGGTACATAAGTCCCTTTTAGAACTAAATGTCAAACTCCTGTGATCCCAGAGGGTCCCCACTTTTGCTGACTGCCTGGTAAGCACCTGGTAGGTGTGAGGCCTCTTCTCAAGGCTGACAGTCTGCGCCCCTCACCTGGCTTTGGGTGCTCATGTGGGTCCAGAGCTTCTCGAGGAGTCTGGTGGCCCCACACCAGACACTCCCCCGCAAAGGCTTACAGTGGGGGAGACTTCCCTCCCTGGCTTATTCTTGGCTCTCACATTGAACGTGACTACATCCCAGCTGCAGCCAAGCCAGGCAGCCATGGCAACAGCATCTTGAAAAAGAGCAGTTAGTCAGCGGCTGCTTTTTCCCAACCTGCTGCCGAGGGCCTTGGAGAGCTTATTGTGGGGGTGGGGGGTGGAGGGGTAGGTAGGGCGTGAGCATGGAGACTGTTAGGGCCACAGCCCGGAGGCTCAGGGGGGAGGAGCCCGAGGACAGCCGAGGAGTTGAGGGCACGGGTGGGAGGAGAGCCAAGGATTTGAGGGCACGGGCACTGTAGGGTCGTTAGGGGCATTTGTGACCCTGGGAACTGGAGTGACCAAGTGTGTGTGTGTGGTGGTGGGGTTACCCTGCATTCATGGCGGCTCTGGAGGAGGGACAGGCAGGCGTCAGCCTGGGAGGGCAGGGAGCAGAGCTCAGTAGGAAGGAGGGAGGGGCAGGCAGGCAGGACGTGGAATGGCCCCTTTGGTCTCTCAGGCTCAGAACTTGCTACTAAGCTCAGGGTTTGCTTCCTGAGGGTCCGAGCCTTTGGCAGCGGGGAGATTTGCACAGGGTTTCTGGGCTCTTTGTGTTTTTCTCTCCAGTTCTCTAAGGTTGACATTCTTACCCAGAACTTCACAGCTTTCTGTCCAGCGTGGCAGGCACAGGGGCTGCCCAGTTAGCTGGGCCCTTCGGGTCCAGAAAGCCAGGCCAGATGGCGATTCCTGGCCCAGCTGTGGTGTGTACTGGGCTGTATGACAGACGACGTCTGAGCACAGCCTTCCACGCTGGGAGCAGGTCACCGAGGTTCACCCCAATTCCCTCGGAAGCGTGAACCCAGTGGGAGTGACTGAGAATGTGTCATCCCAGGAATCGGTGACTTTCAAGGATGTGGCCGTGGACTTCACCCAGGAGGAGTGGGGCCAGCTGGACTCGCCCCAGAGGGCCCTGTACCGGGACGTGATGCTGGAGAACTACCAGAACCTTCTGGCCCTGGGTAAGAGGCTCCCGAGGCTCCGAGTCTGTGGTCTGGACATTGAGCCACGTCACAGGTGTGACCGAGTCCCCCCAGCACCAGCCTGGTGAGGGGGTGTGGTCTCTGTGGTGCTGCTGGCATCCTTGCCTGGAGGTGAGGCTGACACATGGCGAGCCAGAGGGAGAGGGAGAGGGAGGATAGCGTCCTGGAAGCCCGACCTGCCCTGGAGCTTTCCAGGGAGATGGCGGGGGGGACGCGGGATACCCCTGGGCTCCTCAGAATGCATGCCCCATCTGGGACCCCCATCCTCGGGGGCGGCACACACCTCAGTGCCAGCTCGTGCTGTCCCGGGGGCTCTCCTGTCCATCGCTGGGTCTGGAGAGGAGCTCAGCACGGCCCCGCCACTTCCTCCCACGAGCAGGGCCTCCGGTCCGTAAGCCGGACGTGATCTCCCATCTGGAACGAGGCGAAGAGCCGTGGCAAGTGCCCGGAGAAGCCCTGGGAGGGGCTCGTCCAGGTGAGGGGCTGCGAGGGAAGGGTGTGGAGCCCCCGCCCCCAGCACCCCTCCTGCCACCCCGCGGCCCTCCACCACAGCCCCAGCTCCATCTGCACCTGCTCAGGCCCCTTCTGGAACCCTCCTCTTCCCTTCCCAGACACGGTGCTGGGAACATAGCAGGAAAACAGGCAAAGACATCTGCTTTCCCTTGGCAGGAGACAGTAGTCATTTTAAAAAATATATTTTTATTGATTTCAGAGAGGGCGGGGTGGGGGAGTTCTTTTTCCTCTCTGGAACAAGGGACATTTAAATTTTTTATAGGGTACAAAGTAAATGAGTCTCTTTTCTTCATTTGTTAACTTGAGAGAAAAACATCAATTCATTGTTCCACTAATTTTTTTAATATATGTATTTTTACTGATTTCAGAGAGGGAGAGAGATGGAAACTTCAATGATGAGAGATATTATTGATCGGCTGCCTCCTGTACGCCCCCTACTGGGGATTGAGCCCGCAACTTGGGCATGTGCCCTGACCAGGAATCGAACCATGATCCCCTGGTTCATAGGTCAACACTCAACCACTGAGCCACACCAGCCGGGCTGTGGTTCCACTTACTGATGCATTCATTGGTTGCTTCTTGTATGTGCCTGATGAGAGATCAAACCCACAGCCGTGGCATGTTGGGATGAGACTCTAACCAGCCGGCCAGGATGGGACATTTTAAATTTATGGTTTTTGGACTTGAGTTTATCCCAGCCAGCATTGACCTAGTTCTGACACACAACAGTCTCTCAGTAGATGTTTCAATAAGTGAATCGTAGCCCTAACTGGTTGGCTCAGTGGATGGAGCGTCAGCCTGTGGACGAAAGGGTCCCCAGTTCGATTCCGGTCAAGGGCACATGCCCGGATTTTGGGGGGCGTACAGGAGGCAGCCGACCAATGATTCTCATCATTGATGTTTCTCTCTCTCCCTCTCCCTTACTCTCTGAAATCAACAAAAATATTTTTTAAAAAGTGAATCTCATCCATGACCCTTGACCCCCGGCTCTTTTTGGAATTCCTTTCGGGGGCTCCTTCCCCTGTCTCTGTCCTTAACCAATTTGCTTGCCTGTCTCACCCCGCATGTGCCCCTCCCGCCTCTGCTCCTGAGCGCCCTCTGCCGGCCGCTGCCCCCTTTTCCATGCTCACCTGCACCTGCAGGCCAGACCTCAGGTCTGAGTGCCTGTCCACGCCTCGCCCGCTCACAGAAAACTGCATTTCCTTCCGTTTCCGCTTCCCACAGAGCGGGAGCCCCGGCCGGAGGTGAAGGCGCCGTGTCAGCAGCAGGGTATCCACGGGGCAGAGACGGCACAGGAGTCGGCGGTGGAGGGGCCGGTGAGGCCCCGTCTCCACGGCCTCGGCCCAGGAGCTGGCAGGGCCTGGGGGGGCCCGGGGGCTGCTCTGTCCGGAGGGGAGGCTGTGCTCGGGAGGAGCGCGCCCCCTGGCGGCGGGGAGGTCTTCGCGGAGGCGCGCCAGTGTGGACACAAGGCGTCCGCGGAGGCCTTGCCCCTCCGGTGGCCCCTCCCCGCCCAGCAGAGCACAGGATCGCTCCTTCCTGCCGAGGGGGCGCCTCCTCACGGACACCCTGAGAGGTGCCGGCCCCCTGAGGCTGCCCCCCGGCACCAGGGGCCGCCCCCCGCCCGCAGGCCCCCTGGGCCCGGGGAGGGCCCCTTCCCGTGCGGCCAGTGCGGCAAGGCCTTCGGCCAGCGCTCCGCCCTCGCCCTGCACCAGCGCTGGCACGGCCGGGAGAAGGCCTTCCGCTGCGGCCAGTGCGGCAAGGCCTTCACCTGGAGGACCAACCTGGCCGAGCACCAGCGCATCCACACCGGCGAGAAGCCCTTCCTCTGCGGCGAGTGCGGCAAGGCCTTCAGCTGCCACTCGTCGCTGAACGTGCACCTGCGCACGCACACGGGCGAGCGGCCCTACCAGTGCCCGGGCTGCGACAAGGCCTTCAGCTGCAGCTCGCTGCTCAGCATGCACCGCCGCGTGCACACGGGCGAGAAGCCCTACCGCTGCGGCGAGTGCGGCAAGGCCTTCAACCAGCGGACGCACCTCACCCGCCACCTCCGCATCCACACGGGCGAGAAGCCCTACAAGTGCGGCGCCTGCGGCAGGGCCTTCGCCTGCCACTCGTCCCTGACGGTGCACGAGAGGACCCACAGCGGCGACAGGCCCTTCAAGTGCGGCGACTGCGCCAAGGCCTTCAACTGCCGCTCGCGCCTCGCCCTGCACCAGCGCGTCCACACCGGCGAGAAGCCCTTCAAGTGCGGCGACTGCGGCAAGGCCTTCATCTGCCACTCGTACCTGGCGGTGCACCAGCGCGTGCACAGCGGCGAGAGGCCCTTCAAGTGCAACGAGTGCGGCAAGGCCTTCGGCTCCCACTCCTACCTCATCGTGCACCGGCGCGTGCACACGGGCGAGAAGCCCTTCGACTGCAGCCGCTGCTGGAAAGCCTTCAGCTGCCAGTCGTCCCTCATCGTGCACCAGCGCGTGCACACGGGGGAGAAGCCTTACAAGTGCGGCCAGTGCGGCCGGGCCTTCAGCCAGAACCACTGCCTCGTCAAGCACCAGAAGACGCACGCCGCGGCCAGGCCGGAGTTCAAGTGCGCCGAGTGCGGCCAGGCGTTCGGCTGGAGCAGCCACCTGGCCGCGCACCAGCGGGCGCACCGCGCGGAGCAGCCCTTTGCCGGCCCGTTCGACCAGCGTCTGCTGGGCACCTACGGTGTGGGCGTGAGCGGCACGGACCCCATAAACCCGCTGGCCGTGGCCGAGCTGCTGCGTGTGGTGCAGCCCTCGGCCGGCAGGAGCCTCCCCCTGGGCAGCAAACCCGGAGATTAGCACGGCTGGTCGTCCGGCTGCTCCCCCCCGGGCGTTGATGTCCCGGGGTCTCCGCTGATGGGGGTCCATCTTTCCTGCAGATAAAAGGTCTGTCAATCATGTCCTCCTGGCATGTCTTAGAGCAAGAATTTCATCTGTGGACTATAATATTTAGAATAATATGAAGACTTTTTTAAAACCAGAATTATGTACAGTTTTGCCTCCAAGCAAACCTTATGGTATTGGTGGCGAGAATGATCTCAGAGGCGGGAGTTTGGGGAAAAGCGGATTTGCTGGACTCACCTCCCCAGGGGCTCCACCGCCGAGTCCGCTGCCTGAGGCCGCACCCATGTCCCAGCTGCACAGTCACCATCGGACGTGCGGCCTCACCCCGGCCGCCGGGCCGTGTCGGCAGTGGAGCACAGGCGGTGCCGGTGTGTCCGGGGAGGGGGGCGTGAGGATGTGCCCAGAAGTGCACCTTCCCCCGAGGCTGGGGCTGCCTGCGGGGCCTCCCCTCACCATGGAGCCCAGCTAGTCTGTGCAGCCCTGAGGGAGGAGCCCGCCCCAGACCATCCCCGTGCTCCCTGCAGGGACAGGAGGACACGGTTCACCTGGAATTAACGTTCTTCCTGCTCAGTCTAAGCAAGTTCAAGATGCCTTCTCAGTGGTAATACCTGACTTTTGTATAGAGCACTATAGTTTAGGAAATGCTTTTTCTTAGACTTTCTAAATTACGGAGGCAAGATAACCACATTTCAGAGAATGTGGAATAAATGAGAGAAAACACCCATAATTCTTAATAAAGCTGCCTTTCGCACTTTGATACATTATTTCTGTCTTCATATTGCATTTTTACATCCCTTTAAACATAGTGGGTCTGTCATTTTAATCTTCTTTCCCCACTTAGCTGCATAAACTTTTTCCCAAGCCACTGCACTGTCTGTGGAGTCATCATAGGGGAAGCATAGTATTCTGTTAGATATTCTCTTGCTGGCTGTTGAGATTATGTGTTTTTCTCACTATTATAAATCGTTCTTCATGTAGCATTTTTGGGTTATACTTCTTTAGCATTTCCATAGATTTCTAGAAGTGCAATATTTGTGAAAAAGGAAACGAATAACTTAAGGCCGTGGTCGGCAAACCACGGCTCGTGAGCCAAATGCAGCTCTTTGGCCCCTTGAGTGTGGCTCTTCCACAAAATACCTCGGCCTGGGCGAGTCTATGTTGAAGAAGTGGCGCTAGGAGAAGTTTAAAAAATTTGGCTCTCAAATTTCAATCGCTGTACCGTTGCTATTTGGCTCTGTGGAGGAATGAAGTTGCCGACCACCGGCGTAAGCCATCATCCCGGTAAGTTTTGGGTTGTGTGCGCGCGGAGTGATCCTGTCTCCTTACCGAGGAGCCGTCAGCAGCGCCGCCTGGTGGGAACGTCAGAGTAGGTGCCTGGACGTCTTTGTTCAGATGCGGCGACCACAGCCCTGAGCCCGGGCCCTGGGGCCATCGCCTTCCTCCGGGTGTCTGTGAGCCGGCCTGGCACCGGGCGGCCCCGGGCCTTCCTCCGGGACTCACAGGAGACGGTCTGCATCACCTCTGCGCTGGAAAAACACACACAGTCTGGCCTGAGTCACGATCACCATCCTGATTTTTCTTTTCTTTTTAAAAGAAATGAAACCATCTCCACGGGCCCTGGGCCCCGTGTCTGCTGTGCACCTGAAGTGCCCGTTGTTCAGTATGTGGGCTCCGCAGCGAGCGCACGATCTCCTCACTTGTCCTATATGGTGGGGTTTTTTTGTTTGTTTTGTTTTTAAATATATATATATTTTATTGATTTTCTACAGAGAGGAAGAGAGAGGGATAGAGAGTTAGAAACATCGATGAGAGAGAAACATCAATCAGCTGCCTCCTGCACACCCCCACTGGGGATGTGCCTGCAACCAAGGTACATGCCCTTGACCGGAATCGAACCTGGGACCTTTCAGTCCGCAGGACCGACGCTCTATCCTCTAAGCCTAACCGGTTTCAGCTATTTGGCGTTTTGATACATCACAGTGTTATTCATTTTTTTCCTACGTTTTCCCCCTTTCCTATGAATTATCTATTCCTATCTTTTGTCCACTATTCCATTCTTTGTTTTTTAATATGTACATATATATATACACATATAAATTTATACACACATATATATAATCTTAGCACATACATTCTCTATCGTACTGCATTTTTTTTGTACAGAGATTTTAAAATTCTGTGTAATAAGGTCTGTTAGATTTTTTCCTTCTGTTTCTCTTTGCTCTTAGAAAGCCTCTCTCGTAACTCTGCTTTTGGTTGGATATTTTATATTTTATGTTTTTGGTAACCCTCTATTTGGGAGATAAAACTGAAGGTCCCTGCATTGTTGAGTTGCATTCCTCACCGTCCACAGGTCTCTCCTTTCCCTGTAGCTCCGTACTTCACTTTACACCCATGTCCTTAGCGGCTTGTGAAAGGTTTTATCGGTTCTTCTGGGGAGCCAGGTACCACCTTCTCGGCCGTAGCTTTTTCCTTCCCCTGCAGGTGTCATTGGGGTTTTGGTTAGAATTGACTGTGAAAAACTAAGTTCCATGTAATACTGTCTTCACATAAAAGAATGTGGTAGATGGCCGGGACCGGTTTGGCTCAGTGGAATGAGCATTGGCCTGCAGACTGAAGGGTCCCAGGTTCGATTCCAGTCAAGGGCATGTACCTTGGTTGCGGGCTCATCCCCAGTAGGGGGTGTGCAAGAGGCAGCTGATCGTGATTCTCTCTCATCGATGTTTCTAACTCTCTATCCCTCTCTCTTCCTCTCTGTAAAAAACCAATAAAATACATTAAAAAAAAAAAAAAAAGAATTGAACAGTAAATGCATAAAAAGTGGAACAACAAATGCTGTTTCTCTCAAATCAATTAAAAAAAAAAACTTGAAGAAAAAAAAATCACCCACATTGGCCAGCACTTCCAGATCATCACTGAGCTGGGGACAGTGGTCACCGGAGGCAGCTGTGTGTCCATCTCAGAACATTTTGGGTCTAAGACTCAGTTGTAGCTGGGGTGGTCATGGCCCAGTTCTATCCCATGAGGTTCCAGTGGAGGTCCGCCAGAGATTAGAAAACGCCTTTGCTTTCCTGATAGAAATACCGTTCCCGCCAAAACTGGTTTGTCTCAGTGGTAGAGCGTCAGTCTGCGGACTGAAGGGTCCCAGGTTCAGTTCCGGTCAAGGGCATGTACATTGGTTGCGGGCACATCCCCGGTGGAGGGTGTGCAGGAGGCAGCTGGTCGATGTTTCTCTCTCATCAATATTTCCAGCTCTCTATCCCTCTCTCCTCCTCTCTGTAAAAAAATCAATAAAAATATATTTTTTAAAAAAATACTGTTCCTTTCTCCTTCCTGCCTGGAACTTGGATGCAACGCCGAGAGGTGCCCAGGCTCTAGCCACTGAGCCAAACCAGTCAGATAAAAAATATATTAAAAAAAAATTTTTTTTAAATCCTCAGGTGAGGATTAAACAACAGAAATAAATATGTAAATAAAAATAAATGTGGGGCCCTAGCTGGTTTGGCTCAGTGGATAGAGCATCGCCTGCAGACTCAAGGGTCCCATGTTCGATTTTGGTCAAAGGTATGTACCTTGGTTATGGGCACATCCCCAGTGGAGGATAAACAGGAGGCAGCTGACTCATGTTTCTCTCTCATGGATGTTTCTCTCTATCCCTCTCCTTTCCTTTCTGTAAAAAATAAAATACATTTTTATGCCGAGACCGGTTTGGCTCAATGGATAGAGCGTCGGCTTGGGGACTGAAGGGACCCGGGTTCGATTCCAGTCAAGGGCATGTACCTTGGTTGCGGGCATATCCCCAGTAGGGGGTGTGCAAGAGGCAGCTGATCGATGACTCTCTCTCATCGATGTTTCTAGCTTTCTATCTCTCTCCCTTCCTCTCTATACAAATCAATAAAATATATTTTAAAAAAATAAAATAAAATAAAATACATTTTTTAAATGAAAATAAATAAATAAATAAATAAATAAATAATGTGGGGGTGGGGTGGGAGCCTCCCCAGACCATGGCATGGTGGCTGGGAAGATGCCTGACGTGGGCATCAGCAAGGAGATGCACCGGGTGCTGTCGCTTTCTAGATGGGGGTTAGGACGGACTTGTTATCTCTGAATCGTGGCTCTCGCAGTCAGTACAATGAGCAGCTTCCACTCGGAGCGGTAACGTACAGGGTCCACCACTCCCTCTGACATGGCTCCAGAATGACCTTTCCTGTCTGACCAGAGCCGTGCCTGACAAGCAGAGGGAGAGCACGCATCCTGTCCCAGCCAGGCCCCCACCATCCTGGGGCTTGGCAGCAAACCACCTTTCTTGCCAGTTTGCCCCCCGGTGCCAGAGGCAGCCACAGACCCTGTGAGCCGCTCACTCCCTTCCCCAGCAGCACAGGGGCCTTCGGAGGCGCTTTGCCTGGCCCGGAGGTCAGAGCGTCTGTGTGCTAGTTAGGATCGGGGTCAGGGTTGGGGGTGGGGTTTGGGTTAGGTTTTGGGGGGAATAGGAAAGAGGGCGAGGCCTCGGGTGTTTAGAGGTTGGGTGGGGTAGGAGTTAGGGTTGGTAGAGGGTGGGCTTTTATTTTTAAAAAGAACATTTTTATTGATTTCAGAAAAGAAGGGAGATGGAGAGAGAGAGAGAAACATCAATGATGAGAAAGAATCATTGATCGGCTGCCTCCTGCACGCCCTGCATGTGCCCTGTCCAGGAATCGAATTGAGCCTGCAACCCAGGCATGTGCCCTGTCCAGGAATCGAACCCTGACCTCCTGGTTCAAGTGTTAACCACTGAGCCATGCCAGCTGGGCAAGGGTGGACCTTTGAGAAAATATTCTTATTTGTTTCAGAGAAGAAGGGAGAGAGACAGAAATATCAATTATGAGAATCATGAATTGGCTGCCTTCTGCACACCCCACACTGGGGATCAAGCCCGCATCCTGGGCATGTGCCCTGACCGGGAATTGGATCAACCACTGAGCCACACTGGCCAGGCAGGTGGGCTATTTTTCATGCCTTGAGCACCTGCTGGAGCGAGAGAAAAGATGGGCATCACTCCGGTGAGTGCTGGGGCAGGCGGAAACGGCACATCCACTTCCCTAAGTCCAGCGGCCCTGTGGTTACTTATCCGAGGATCACAGATAGCAGACCCATGTGCACCTCTCAGCAGAACCAAGATCACTTCGGCACAAAGCCCACGAGCACCCTTCTCATAGTCTAATTGCATCAGCTCTCCCAGTGACATGCTGACTTTCCAATCGAGTCACGTCAGAGAAGTCTGTTTCAGGCTTGGTTTCCTCCCCTGGTGCGATCTTTGGGGGTGGTTTTGGAGTTGGCTCCAGGGCATCCCCTCCCTGCTCACAATAGCACGCATCTTCCTGCAGGGAGTCCAGTCAGTAGTCAGCACCATCGGATGAGGTCACACACACCTCATGGGGATTACTATTACTGGAAGTCCGGTGCACAAAATTTGTGCGGGGGGGGGGG